GCCTGTTTTTTGTGTATTCAAATCATTTACATTTCACAGTACTATAGGTTAGGTTAGTACAAACAAACGATAGCCTATGTTGCATTTGCTGACTTCCTTAATCAGTCATACTTGTCAGATCATCTAGGCTGTATTCTGATGCTAAGCAGTAAGGTGTTATCAAAGGATGCAGATGTCTGGGTCCTACTCAGTAGGATAAAAAAATATATATAGTTTTTAAAGAGGTTATCTGGTCCAGTCCCCACCCCCCGTTCCCTGCTATTTAAAGCAGTGTCAACTTAGAAGTTACGTTAGATGTTCAAGCAGCGTGCTGTCAAACGTCCTCCTTGATGTTAGCCAGATGGTAGAGGTCCTGGAAGAATGAAATTCTTGAGAGATTTGTGAAAAGGTGGCCCTTTAACGGAGACCTACTAATACTTTGAATAATGGAGAGAATGCAGGGTGAACACAGCCTTTCACCAATTAAAAGTTTGGGGGGGGGGAAGGGGTCTCCTGTGTGATGCTTTGTCTGTGGGGTCAGCTTGATTTTAAGCTTAAGCGTAATCAGCCACAAAACACAAATTTAGTTTTGATGTGGATTTGACTAGGGTTTTTTTTGGTAAAGGAAAACATAAATGGCTGTTTATTTTGTGCAGCCCTACATTAACATTATTTACTTCTTCAAAGGCTTGAGTCTTTCTAAGCTGCTATAGTGCATCTGTGTTAAGAAACAGAGTGGGTCACTAGCAATTTTTGTCTTTGTAAAGGTTGTGTACATACACTGCAAAATGGTAGAATTTATATCTGGTTTCAAATAAGTTTGAACTGTAATGCTGTTATGAAAAGTCTGAGACTTTACTATGAAAAATCAGTGGAAAGCTTTGGAAAACAGTGTTCCGTAACTTTGGAAATTCATGAAAATGCCGTTAGTGGTAGATGTTACGAGTTTTATTTTCCTGCAGGTTTTTCATCTTTTCATATTTACTTCCTGTCGGCAGGTCTGTTGATCAGTAATTGTACAAAATCGGAATAATATGAAACTGTGTTATAAAGAGAAGATAATTGCCAAAAAGGCCCCCTGTAATTTAACCACACAGAAAATTCTTAACGTCTGAAAGGTAGTTTGGCGTTTTAAATGGATGTCGTCGTACCAAAACAAGTTAGATGGCGTTCAGACCTTGCACTGTGAAGTGTCGTAAGCTTTCTCTGGTTTTATCAAGAGCGTTAGATCATTTTCTAGTGAAAAGGGGTTAAAGGAGCATGAAGAGTGGCAGCAGCATGTCAAGCGTGCTTTTATTAAGGCTCTTTTATTGTGCCTGTGATACATGATAGATTTCTGGACAATAGAAACTTACTCAGCAGTTGCTATTTGGAGGAAATACAGATGCTTGACTGCCAGGGGGCTTGTTAAACTTCTGTGTCTGAAGAGCACCAGTGCCAGGTCTTTCCGTAGCCCTTAGGTGGAAAGGAAGGATTACTTTCACTATAACCAATTTATAAGATCATTGTCACTTGATGTTATTGTTATCATTGCTGCATAAATAGAGAAATTAACTCCTAAGTAAAGCGTTAAAGAATATAAAAACACGAAAAAGTTGTTGTAATTGGGATGTAAAAATCTCATATGACATCATGATTTCTTTCATTCTAATGAAAATAAGGTACTGGTAATATACTTGGAATATGTCTATTCAAGTAATGTGAAAAGGTTCAAAGGGACTGTAAGAAGTAAATGATAGTTGCAAAGAAAGACGGAAGGGGCAGCAAACAATGACAGAAGAGTGGAGTAGTTTAGTTTAGAGAGAACTTCTGGAAGCCATCTGATCCAACCACTCCTGTTCAAAGCAAGGCCAGCTTCCAAGTTGAAACGAACTTTAAAGTTGGATTAGATTGCTCAGGGCCTTATGCAGCCATATTTTGAATATTTGCAAGGATGGAGATTCCACAGCCTTGCTGGACGACCTGTTTCAGTGTTCGACTATCCTCATTGCAGACAAAAATTTTCCTGCTATCCTGTTGGAATTTTCTTGTTGCAAGGCATTAGCTCTCTGTTTTATAACTTGTTTTGAATAATATTGTTTATTCTTAGTGAGTCCTGTGAGGCGGTTGAACCCTCACTTTTTAATTTAAATAATCTGCTGTGTTCTGCAAAGCTACTTATTGGTGCCTGTGGTATCATTTCTCTCCTCCCAGGCAGGTCCTAAATATTTAAGGGGCAGATCTTCAGAAAATTTTGTTCTTGTATGTGTGTTCTCCTTGTAAGTGAAATGAGCATCTTCATTTTATGTAATAAGGTAGCTAGGCTTTTGTTTCTCTACGCCTATGGTTCAAAGTGAAAATTGTCCCAAAGTGCAGTTGCCCAAATATTTTGAGAACTTTCTACTTTCCAGTTTACATTTTTTCAATAACAAAAAATATTTAGTCTATTAGTAATGAACTTGCTCTGCAATTACAGTAACAGGAGTAACTAATCTTCTGAAGATCTGGTTTTTTCATAGGAGTTAATATAGGGTTTGTAAAAAGTTCTAGTACTTTCTATGCAGTATAAATTCTATGGTGTAATGGTCTACCTCATTTCCTAAATGGCCCTAGCGCAGTTCTCGAGTACAGATAGTCCTTTTTCTTAGTCTTAATTGTACCCTGAATTATTATGACTAAAAGCCTGCAGATGAAAACTTATTGGCAACGTTGTCTGCCTCTGGAGAGTAAAGCTGACGAGGTAGTTGCTTTTTGTTAGTAGTCCTAGCCTAGGTTTCGAAGGTACTTCTGTCCTGATATGGAAAGAAATGTTTTTAGTTTGAAACTGCTTGGACTGTGTGACAGAAAAAAATGTAATTGTTACTTTTTTAAATTTATTTTTTATAACATCTGCAAGTTCCATTCTTTGGACATACGCTTCAAGTTTAGCATATAAAGTAGCTGTAAACGTGTTTCTTTAGAAAACAGTACTCCTCGGTACTTCTATGAGAAAAAGATCATGGTTGCTTTATGGATGTTAGCACTGCAGGGTTACTCTAAATCCTCTTTCCTGATCTCTGACTTCATGGGAAAACTGGAGAGTTTGGAAACTGAAAAGGTACTTAAATTCACCCATCTCTCTACTAGAGGCCAGTTCTCTCACCAGTCTGGGAAATGAGTGCTGTCACTAATGCAAAGGGGTAGTTGATGGCCTAGTATGTTGTTCGTAGCTTTTTAAGGCTGTAAGGCTAGAATTTTTGTAATAGATGAGTCTGGAAACAGTCCTTTTGGTATAATATAAGTTGTCACCGCTCTCATTTTATCATTGAGAAACTTTCATTACATTGGTCAGTTGCGTAGGCCTGCCTGTAGCAAGGCATGTTGGAAAAGGGGTGGAAATGTACAGTGCAAGCAGCATCTTCTGCAGTTCGTAGTCTCAGTGGGACTTCTCGTCAGCAGCTGAGAGAGACTCTTGACCACTTCTTTTCTTATCAAGGCATGTCCCGTGCCATTTACATTTGAATGTTATAGGTGCTATATGTTCTGTGGTTTTTGTTTTGTTTTTTGTTGTTTTGTTTTTTAAGCTTTCCTATATTCTACAGAAAGGCTTTTCTGTTTTTGGAAATCTGTTAATTTGAAGCCCCAAGATACGTCTGTGTGCCCCATTCTGTTTCTGGGGCTGTCTTGCAATGCTAGGCAATTGGGTCTGATCTGGAGGACTTGAAATGGCTGGGTATCATTGGAGGAAAAAGGCTCAGATCTTCTTTAAAAGAGAGAGGTGGACGATGTGTTCATTTTTTGGCTCTTTGAAATATAAATCATTTAATAGCCTTACTGTTTCATAATTTGTATTACTGGTTTTGTTTTCTGAATATAATAATAAATTAACTGTTACATTAACTAGAATTCTCGTTTAGGATATTGTTTAACTAAACAGTATTAACTAAAAGTATAGAAATTCAGAATGTTAAATAACTGGACTTTTGGTTTATTGTCTGTATCAGGAAAAAAAAATTAGAACCCCTTCAGGTTCTAAGACTCTCTTACAGCATGTCAGCTATGACCTTTTTATTATGAAATAATAAGATTTTTAATTTCTTTATTCTTCAAGATTTGCAATTTTTATAGATTGCTGCTTTGGATAGGGCTTCAGAATAAGGGCCTTAATAGGTATGAGGCTGTGCAGGATTTGTCTTGGGTGTGAGGTTTTTTTTTTTTTTTTTTAAATATAATTAATTCAAATGATCTGCTTTGAGGAGGAGGAAGGACTACCAGATTATCTTGAAATGAACTTTCTTTGCTCCAAACTTTTGCATTAGATGAGTGCAATTACAGAGATTGATAAAATAATTGTGTTTATCGGACAGTAATATTTCACAGAGGACAGCAAAACTTCCAAATGGTAGTACTCTGAAGGTAAAGTTGATAGAAACTCCCAATTTTAGTTCAGCTCGAATGAGATACCAAATTATGTTGTTTTATGTATGTTGTAAAACTGAACAACTAATTTTGTATATGTTGCTGTGTGTGGAGATGCAAAGAAAAATCATTGAAAATATGCTATACCAGGAAAAAAAAAGGCATGTAACATGGCTTCCACAAAATATCTCTATATGATCTCATTAAGTATTACAGTTTTGTGTAGAACTGTGAATTGTCCAGCAACATTCTATGATATTTTGCTGCTTCTCTTTTGTGAAATTTACAGAAATACAAATCAACAATTTACATTGTATAAATTCTATGTTAGTATTTCAGTAAATCAGGTGTAAATAATCAGAAATTCAGGTGCATCTCCCAAACAAAGGATTGCAACTAGTTTACTTCCAAAACATTAGCCCAGTTAATAGTTAAATGATGCAGCATGCCGTTGGCAGATTCGACAAGAATGCAAGAAGGAGCTGAAAACGTTTCTGGCTTGAAAAGTACTGAAGCAATACGTTTCACCTCTGGAGCAGTAGCAGTAAAACATCAATAGAAACAGTCCTGCCTCTTAGGGATCATAGATATATTCTACTAAGTTTAGCACTTTAATATTAACTTTTTTTTTTCTCTCCTTTCAGCCATAATCAGCAGACCACGTCTTTTAGACATCCTGTAACAGGACAGGTTTCTCCAGAAAATATTGAATTTATTTTGCAAGAAGAGTAAGTAGATTTATACCCATGTCAAGAGATTTAAAACAGTAGCATTTTTTCCTATAGTAGGTTAGTAGTTTGACAATTCTTCTGGTACTGTGGCAAAAATACCATACAAATGGTTGATACTTAAAAATTTACTTCATTCTGAAAGTATATTTCTGATTCTAGCACTGTTCCATATAAGAACTAGCACTGAAATCTTTTCCAGATTAAAAAAAAAAAAAAAAGGCTTTTAAAGTACGCTAAAGGTCCTTTGATGCTTTAGCTTTATATAATTGTCAAATATACAGAACAGAAAAGTCAAATGCCCTTAAAGGAAACTGAAAGGTTTATATTGAAACTGAAATATGCAAAGTATTAGCAGTTTCCATTGTAATCCCTTGGGGGAATCCCTTTTTTATGCTTTAGATTTTCTGTATTAGATGCCTCTTGGGCTATTTATTCAAAAATGTTCATTCTTCATTTTAAATCTATTCCAGAGAAATAGAATGAGATATATTAGCTTCCAGTGTATTTTATCTTGATTGAGTGATGAAAAAAGTGAAATGCGTGTGCTCAAAGTGGTTGTGTAACTGGGTAAGTCTTTGGCTCTTGGTTTGGATCGCTTCCTCTTCCACCGTAAGGGTTTACTCCCATCATCATCCATGCCATATACTAGTTTGCTCCTGGCATCATGCTGTAGTAGCGTGGATGTGCTGGTTTGTAAGGCTGCCCTCGCTATTTTGATCTATTTCTTATTACCTGACACTTGATTTACTTCGCATTTAATTTGAAGTAGTTTTGCATTAAGAAATGTAGTTATTAAGCCCAGAGCGAATGCAAGATTTGGGCTTCTGTTAAGGCCCGTGTTGAGAACCAGCATGAACAAGAAGAATGTTGGATCTATCCTGCAGTGTGTCGGACAGGCCCGTGGTTGGGGGCAAAGGCCTGTGGGCTAGTTACCGAGCCAGAGGTCATGCCACGTGTTGCGTGGTAGGCATTTGGCATGCTGCTCTGATGGTGGCTGGATCTTTACAGGTGTGGAAACAAGCTACTCAAGTCATTCAGTGAGGAGATCAGCTATCTTGCTGTAGAGCACACATCTCAAAGGCGCTATGGACAACAGCCACTGTATAAATGTGCTCCCACCTCCATCCATTAATTAGTTTTCCTTTTTTTAATCTGTTGGACAGGTCCAATCAAGTTTAGTATAAAGGAAATACATACAAGCGTTAGGGAAAATAGGTGTTTGGGTAGAAGTACCTGGAGCTCTTCCCTGGGTTGGTCACGCTTCCATGGGTTGTTTCGGGTTTTGTAATCATCAAAGCAGAATTGAAAGAACAAGTGACTGATGGCACGTATTTTTAGTGCTCTTTTATATATATCAGAAACATTTTTGGAAGAGAAATGAAGGTCTTTGTAATATTTGGAGGGTGGTCAAATAGGCAGTCCAGACTGATACAACTTGTCACCTGTAGGTTTTAATTACTTTTACTGAGATGGTTTCAAAAAGAGGGGGGAAATATCTTATAGTCAAGAATTAAGTATTTTGTATTCCAAGTTAAGAGGGAATAGCTGGAGGGATGTAGAGAGGAATATGTATTTGTAGGGACTACTCGGAAAACAGTCTTTGCAAACACATTTTTCTTAGCTTTATGATTGGCTTAAAACGCTTACAGGGTGTTTTTAAAATGAGACATTTTTAATGTATCAATTTAAACTGGTTTAAGACGCCACATTACAGTGCTTGAGATGTACTGTTTTCCTTAGTTTTGTACCTCTTCTGTGCACCAGTATAGGTTTTATACCCATGCTGTTCATCCCCTTAGTATCTGGATGCTTGTCAAAGGAAACTGTTTACATATGTGGAATTCCCTGCTGAAATTAAAGGAGCTATTATCACCTCCCTGTCTCTAGGCATAGAAATTCTAATAGGGCTGTGGGGTGGTTTAGCTTCTTTTCCTGAAGGCATTGGTATTACAGATCATATCTTGTGATGAAGTGGCTTTCACAAAGAGGACACAATTGGAAAGACAGTCTCTTAAAACTCTAAAGGTAGTCTCTGGATTTGCATAATCTCTGGAAATGTTTGCATTATGAGATCGTTTTGAGCAAGAGTACGTCTTTCTTACACCTCAAAAATCATTTCTAAAGTAGTAACACTCTTAAGGGGTTCATAAACGAGAATTTGATCTTTAATGCTGTTGTGACTTACTGCTTGCAGGTTGATTTTAATTTAAGATTAGGGCCAAAGCCTGGAATTATTACCTGATGATGACTAGAAGCTGTTGGGGAGACTTGAGCACAAGCCTGTTAAGGCTGCAGCGAGCACATCTGTTAAAAGATCACATTTAACATCAGAGAAGTAACTTATGGTAATCTAGAGATGATAAATGTATAGACTTTCCTGGCCTTTTCTCATCCAGGAAGTTCTGGCAAATGAGATTTGGAGAGAAGTTTGATGTCACTTAGTGATGTCATCCTAGCCTAATTATGAGTCAGATACGAACCAGAAGCCCTTGCCCCACTTGATAAAATGAGGACTGGAATCTCCCACTGGAAGGCTGAGACTATATCTCACTAGTATTTTCCCAAGGCATATTCCCTTTTAAACAGTATCACATCAATGTTACTTTTTAAGCCAAAACCTGATTTCATTAACTCCGCTGTAATGGGAGGATAAGAACAGAGAGAATTGCTTGCAATTTGTAGTGTTTAAATTACGTTATCTTTTGATCATTTTGCCGTTCCTGCATCTTTGAGGTGTTTTTATTTAGATTTTTGTTTTGAGAAATAATTATTAATAATTCCTCTTTTTCTAACCGCTTCTTAGTTTACAAGACCACTGTCAAATCTCCACTTCTCTTTTTAATTTCCAAGCTTAGAGGCTTATTGTAAGTCAGTCAGTCTATACCTTTGAGTAGCCTTATTCTGAGAGCTAGCCTTTCTATATGAAACTTTGGGGTTTATTTTGTCTCTTTTTTCTAATGGGGTGTTTATAGGTAAATGCAATATTCAATAAATGAGCACATCATTGATTTTTATAATAATTTAATTTTACTTTTTCTTCTCTATTCCTTTTCTAATAATTCTTAACATACTTTGACTGCTGCTAATTGTTGTGCTAAGACTTAAAAAAACAAAAAACAAAAACCCAAACCAAAAAAACGTAAACCTTTCCCCAGAGTACCAAGATCATTTTGACTGATAAAAGCAGCAGAGGTGTTTCTAAATTGATTTCTCCCACCTTTGGATTAGTTTTCTTCTGTTGACACTGCATTTAGTTTGACATCTTATCTCACATAGTCACTCATATCTAAAGACTTTATTCTTCTGGCCTTTCCTGTCAAAATTTCCATTTGTGTCCAGACTAATTTTTGACCTCTACTAACTTGGTCATCTCACAGTTTCCAGGATCACTTTAAATAATTTCAATGCTTTGAGTGTATGGGAAGCCCCTCTGATAGCCTCCCTGCATTTCATGACTGTCTCTTTGTTTTTGTGCTTTATTTTCCTTTTTTTAAGGAACTCCTAACCCACAAGGGGACCTTCCTTAAACAGCCAATAGAAAAATATGCATTAAGGATGTGACTGCTGAACAAATGTTAGATCTGAAACCTACGTAACCACATCATTATACGCGCATTTCTTTGAAAAATCTTCTGTTACAGAATTGTTTAGGATAGATGTATGCAATGTTTAGATTCCTTCCCTGTTATCTTTAAGTAGCAATTCTTAACTGTGTACAGAAAGGAAGGAACAGACACTTACGATAGCCTTGATAGCAGCGTTTCTAACTGGATCTGTTGCTAAATACTAGTAGTTGTGTATTAGAAGTCTAAAAATATATTAGCAGTGGTATTGTGTTTGCAAATGAAATGTTAGTACTTTAATACTTAAGCATACATGTCAAAAATATGTATATTGTGTTTAATCTAATAAAAGTTACCTGCATCATCTTGGGTGGGGAGAGAGAGCGCACCATCTTATTTCATCTATTGCATTTGGTTACTATAGCAGCAAAAAAATCAGAGGTGGAGAGAAAAGAGAGAATCCAAACTACTCCAAAATAATCACCTGGCATATTTATATGTAAAGAAATGTTAGGACAGTTAATTTTATATCTAACTGAGTAGGAGATTTGTTAATACTAGAACTAGATTAACATGATGTTCCAACAAAAGAACCTTTCTTTAAAAAGTGTTGGTACAAATATGGGTGTTCTAAGTGGGCTATTCCTTATGGTCCTTTAGAGAAAAGGAATTCATTCTGCTGTGAATATTAGATTTTCAGTATATCTACTTGTATAAAATTACTGAAGTGTTTTATTTAGTTTTTATTTTTAATAAAACATTTTGGCCGTTTTAGCTAACAAAACGTGATTTCTGTAAACGTACTAGTGCAGTTTAGGTGCAGTGGGGAGCTGCTTGACAGCAAGTATTACGCAGAATGCTATTTTAAACTATTTTACGAAGACTTAAAAAACGCTTGGAGCCCTGAATGTGCATGCTGCAGTTTTGTGCGTGCCTGCACACACCTGTGGGAGGTCACAAGAAAAGAATTGAGAAAATGGAAAAAAACAGTGCTATGAAGACAAGATAGGATACTTTGAATCACAGACGTTATCAAACATCTTTAGCATTAGTGATTCTGAACTAATGTTTCTGAATGCATAGGCTTAATGCTTTATCTACTTATTTGTCAGGATGAATCCCTAAACACTGTTAGGACTGTGTTAACTCCATTCACATGTTGGAAAATTTCAAGTAATTCTACATACTGTACTTTTTTTTTTTTTTTGACCGTTTAAAGCAGACAAAGAATATCAGTTAGCTATTAAGGAACTTGAATGCTTGAATATGGTTATATTCTGGTCTGATGCAAATTTTTTACAGTACTATTTTATCCTTGAAATACTATATATATGAATACTTGAATTCATCTTTAGTTTTGTTTGGTATTTTTTGTTACATCTCAGGTCCAAAAAGTTTAAATCACCAATGTTTGCCACCAAATGCATTATTTTAGGAGAATAATAATGTTTTTTCTGTTTCAGTTGACTTACTGTCTATTTTGCTGGCTGTGTAAGTTCTCTCATGGCAACATCCTGGCAACGCTTTTTTAAAAATATTTTTCTTCTTGTGTATTTTTTTTCCTTCTTCCAGTTGGAGTTCATCATTAATCTTAATACTACTGGCAAATGAAAGCTTAATTTCTTGACAGTGACTGTTTTCAGGAGGAAGTAGAAGAGAAATTACTAAATGGCAAAGTAATCAATTCTTACAAATTTTATGTGCGTTTATTGATCTGTATTGCATTATGATTATGTAGTAATGATGGTCTTGTTAAATGTAGAAAGCTTATCTTCATCTGTAGTTCTGCTGAGAGCTCTCTCTCTGCACGCTGTGTTTAACCTGTTGTGAAATAGTATCTTGTGGAATGATGGAAAACCTCTTCAATCTGAGTTTGCCTATCCTAGTTTGTAGATCAAAGCCATTCCTCTAGGATAAATTCTCCCTCCATATTCTTAATGTTTTTGTTAGGCAAATTAATTTCCATTTTGTTTAAAATTTAAATTTTCATTTTCATTTTTGTCTTTTCTGTGAAGGTTAGCACTCTTTATAGAATAGCTGCTCTAGAAAAGGAAGAAACAATCTAATCAGATTATCTGTAGGATGGAAAGACTACAGATTTTCAGAACATGTTAAGCTCTTCCTCCTCTTCTCCCCCGGCCCCCATGTGTATGCGGACAACAGTATGTATTATGTAACTGTCATAGGAGATGAGACTCAATAGTTTGTGGTGTGGACATTGTAGAGAATCTAAACGTCAAGCTGCCATTGGGAAGAGGAGAATGTTTCTTTCTTCAAAGGCCAAATGTTTTCCTTGGCTATGTGTTCTTTCTTAATTTTGTGATTCATTTTTAGTGGCCATCTTAAAGGTATTAAGTCTAGTACTTGAGATTTGTTTTGAGGAGGCAAAGTAGGAGACTGTCATTCTTTGTTAGGTATTTCAATGAAGGAAGACTTCTACTCTCTGTTTAGTTGCCTCAAGCAGGGAAATGGGACCTTTCTGAGAAGCAGAGATTAAGAAAAGGCAAGTAACGTGCCTTTGCAAGTAAAATACAGACAATGCAAGTCTGCCTCTTCTACTGCTTTTGAAAGTGTATAGATTGGAAAGAGAACAAAGGAGAATCAAGTCAAAAGCAAATAGTAAAGACTGGCTGGTCAACAGAAATAGCTTAGTCAGGCGGCATTGAATACAGAAAGTGTCTTAATCTGCTCTTTGCTGAAGCTGGATATTTCTGAAGGTAACTAAATGCTGAAATGGGATATCTGATCCCTAAGAGGTAAGGTAAGTAGACTCAAACTGAGGTGATGAAACTGTTGCACATTAAAGGCCAGCAAGGGATTTTAAGGACTTGCTGTAGATCGTTCTCATCTCTTGGACGTGAGCTTACTTATAAAAGCTAGAAAGAAGGGATTTATGCCAGATAAGCAATACATAAAGAAAGTGGAATCAAAGTTGTGGTATTGTTTTCTTGAAAGCTTCATTTAAACTGTATGATCAAAAATGGAAAAACGTGCTTTCTGAGACATCAGCCAGAGAAGCTTTTGGACAAGTAATTGTTCAGGTTGTAACTGAGGAAAAGTAATGGTGGCAGACACCTGGTCCTCCATGTAAATTCTGTTGTTGCCATCAGAAACTCTTCTCTGTTCTTGGGAGTGCTCCTGTTCTCTGGGCCATTCAGAGCTGGATCAGATTTCAGTGACAGCAACAGCAGTGTTTGTGGCTTGTATGCTGTATTTTAAATAAGCAGTTTCAGTGCATGCATTTGGATGGGAAAGAGCAAATCTGTAGCTTGTGAATAGACTGTTATTATTATTGGTATGGATATATTGCCACTTGCTGCTAATGAGTTGCTGTTCCTGAACTATGATTTGCAAAACTATGATTTTTTGAAAATATCACCTGTTGGTTTAACTCACAAGTTGTTGTAGAGCTTGGCTACTGAGGCATTCGCACCATGCATAATGGGATTCCACGAGATTTTGTTCTTGTATTCGTGCTCTCATTTCTTCATCCAGAAAGTTATAGTGACTTGCTAAACCTTAAGGTAGGATTCATCTCAACGCTAGACATCTATGCTTTAAATAGATACCTGCAGCTAAGCTCATTATCTATATTTTTTATTTTATTTTATTTTTTTAAGTTATAGTCAGTGGAGCAAAATACGCACCTTTATGACTCGTTTCAACTAATCTAATTTAGATGTCTACTTTTTGAATGAGATGGATTATATCAAAAAGTGCCTGCAGAGAGGTTTCTAAAACCTGCCCTGAATGACTATGATTTTGAGAACTCTAAATGGATAATGCTTTTGAACGGTGAATATGTAATTTTTGATTGCCACCTCTGCCCTACAAATGATAACCGTTACCATTTCCAACATTGACCTGCAGATAAAAATTTTTACTTAAAATGGTTTCCACTGATATGATCTAAATGAGGATGTCTGTACTTTGTTTTCCTAATCGATTAATGAAAGACTAACTGATAAGGAGTCTTCGTGTGTTTTCTGGTGCTACCTTACAATAAATTTTTTATTTTTTTTTTAAATGTAAGCAACAATTTCTAACTTAACCCCAAGCAAGATCCCTGGCTGCTATTATCATCAACATTTATAATAAATAAATAACATCTGTTTTTCTAGAATGATTCGAACTCTCTTGTATTTTGACAAGTGGAACTAGCAGAAAGGTTTGAATTATACTTGCATGTTAGTCTCTTTTCTTTTTTCTGTATTTGAGGGACAAATATACTGTTCTTTTAAAGGTTTGGAGTGCTGGCGGACAGTTAGATATTTGAGGAAAACAGAACTGTTAGTGACCCAACAGATGATGTCTTCAGGGTATGTAATACAAAAACAGCTTGCGTAAATATGCATACAGGACAATGAATATAGAACTCTCTTAAACGAAATTGATCTTGATGAAGAACAATGGCTAAGTGAAGATGATGAACGTACAGCATAAATCCTGAATGAAGACTTCTTTTAAAGCTGCAGCCTCATAAGAGCTGCAAATAAATTTACTGTATATTTTGTTTAGGTTAGAGTCTCCGATTTTTTTCCCCCCTCTAATTTATGGGCTACTTAGAAAAGAACTTAAGTTTTCTTCTCAGAAATTCAAAATAACCTCAACCTGAAAATTTGAAACACAGAGGAAAATGGCATTATTCAAAAAATTGAAAGGTAAAATAAAAGAGGCTTTTCTGGCTCTTTTTAAGGAAAAAAGACCCATTAATTTTTCCACATTTCCTTCTTCATTTTTGGAAGTTTTACTATAGTTCCTTTCAACGCTATCACTTTGTCTCTGTTTCTTTACTTTTGTTTACAGTTTGTGGGCCTAAGTTCCATGTTAATTGGTCGTCAGTGCCAGAGCTGTCCTTCTGTGTGGGTGCTGGCCACGTGCATGCAGTGGGGCCCAGGTCTTGTTTGTGGCAGGTGCTGATGGTTTTCTCTATTGCAAAAATACTGCTTTCATAATCACTGGCTTTCATTGTATTGGGTCACTCTAGCCCAAGGTCTGTCTTGGCTTTTGTTGAAAACGTGAAGCTGTGTAACTTCTGTGTGCTTTCTCTCTACTCTCTGCGGTTAGGTGTTTCTTGTTCTGTTTCGGCTGTTTGTTTTCAGCTCAGGGATTAGCTAGCTGGCTATTTGCTTGTTATCAGAGTTGGTGTTTTGGCTAGATCACAGAGTCAAACTAAGGGGAGTTCTAATGGAAAAGTCCAGTCTAGTAGTTCAGTGACTAGAAAGCGCAGTTTTGACAAGGACTTAGATCAATGGATGACCTAGTATGCCAAGATTTTTTCTGAGAAGGTAACAGACACTCAGCTAATGGTGTTTGGTGCTGCTTGTGAATGAGTGGTGTGGGGGTTTTTTATTTGTTTTTAGTGCAAGTAGAGACAGAACAGAGATGTCACGCACATTTGTGTATTTGAAGTCTTTTTCAATCTGAAGATTGAACTTTGAAAACAGGTCACGCTTTCATATAGGAGACAGCTGGAGCAATCTAGTATGGATCAGTGAACGTGTTAATTTTTGCTTGGCCTACAGTTTTTGTGCAGAGAATAGGAAATGCATTCCTTATGATTCAGAGATTAGTTATTTCTAGACATAACTGTCATGAATTGCATCATTCTGGTTAAAAGATATTCTTATGTTAGTAATTCCTCTTGTAGTATGAATCATATTTTTGGTAAGAGTGAAAGGTCTAACATTCTAATAATGTTAGCCTCACCTTGACTTTAAATAATGGACCTGTTCTTGAAAAATGTTTGTACAGATTCCTACCCTTCCCTCACTGCTATTAGTTCTTCCACAGATTTGCAGCAAGGCTTGTAAATAGGGCACGGTTTAGTTTCTGGACATTGGCCTCATCTGCTCTGAGTGCTTTTTGTTATATCTTGATTCTCAGTTTGGTTTGTAGTCACTGTGGCAGGTTTCTTCCTCTTGATATATTTGCGGATATCAAACATCAGATGTCATTGGTAGCGTCGACTTGGGAGATGTCTGGAATCAAAATAATAGGGATGATGCAAGAGAAGTTGCAGACACAGGGGAAATGTTTGCCTAGTGGTTGACTAGCCTGTCATTTGCTTTCTTTGTGAATCTTAAATATAAAAAGTAAAGCTGACTGTTTGAAATAATGTGCTTTAGAGTACCTGTTTTTGTGTCTTTTTTCTAGGCAGAATTCACCTATGTCCAAGCAACAAATAAACCAAAGACCTTCAAGTATGGTTAGTGAAACATCCACTGCAGTAACTGCATCTACTGTTGATACAAAGCCTACTCCTAAGGTAAAGGAAAAAGACTATTGTTTGAGCTGGATGATTAGAACCTCGCTCGCTTTAAATCCAATACTGTTTTATTGTTGATTTTACTAGGGCCATGCGTTTAGGCTAGAAGTCGAATAACTTACCTCAAAGAAGAGGCAGTATCTTCTACCCAAGCAAAACCCTTCTGACAGCGCAGGAGCACCCTATATCCACATAAGCGTTGGATGATAATTTGAAAAACAGTGATTAGGTGACATGTAAAGTTTGAGAGGCTCCTTAAGACTGGAAATAAGTATATGTGATACCAGTATGCCAGGAAGTCATTTGGTAGTCCAATGTATGTGGCAAAATGTGCTGCAGAGTACTGGTAATGATAATGGACAGCTCTCCTTATTTTTCTGCTAAACCTTACTAATTGTTCCTCCTCATAGTAACATCTTAGATCCTTCTCTGCCATCACTGTAGTGCGCAATTAGTGCATACCACAAGTTCACACGCGGAATGTTTAATGACAGAAAAATCCATTATTTGGGATTGATAAAGGGCTTTTGTTTCTTACTGCACGAAACATAGTGAAGCGCTGTACTTCAGGTGTCCCCAAATGTTTTAGATGCTTCTTTGAGATTACAGAAAATTGCAGTGTGGTAAGAATGAGGAGACTTGATAAAAAAAAAAAAAAGCAAAAAATATTGGAAGAAATGGCAGAGATATAAGATTGATTTCTTAATTTTGCCTGTAGTTTTTAAACTTCTCAGATCTGCTTAGCTGGAAAAGTATTAAATAACTGAGTTGAAAGAACGATTTTGCCAAACTGACTTTAAAGATATTTTTGCTGAGGTGGCATCACTTAAAGTCTGCTGATGTTTTGTATTGCGTGACTGAATACTGCAGAAAGCTCAAAATAATTTCATGAAAAGCTTAAAAAAAATGTTTGTTGGATCTAAATTGTAATAATGCAATTAAAGGTTATTGGTCCAAATACAAAGACTGTCATATCTCAATTCTCAAGGATATTTTTTATCTGTAAAGTACTAGGTGAAGTTATTGAGAAGAGTAGACTTACTGGATTAGTTGAATTACTTGATGTGTTTCTGCTTGGTATTCTAATAGTTAGACTTGCCAAAGTACTTGGGCATTTGTGTTTACTGTGTTTATTCCTCTTGCTCTGATTTTCTTACTGCCAGTATTGGAGGGGGAAGGAAGGTTTTCCTGCCCATTTTTTCGCTCTTAAAACTGACAAACTTAATGGAGTCTGGTGTTCTGCTTTGAGATGGGGACTTTCCCAGGGATACAGTTCCATAACTGGCTTTGACTTACTTAGGATCACACTTTTTGGCAAAAGCGTGCGACCCTCAGCCACGTGCTCCTGCTGCTTCCCTTTGTCAGATCTGCTTGCACTGATCTGATCAGGCTTTGCAAAACGATGAGAACAACTTCATATTGGTGATTGAATGCAATGTATTAGGGCACTTGCATGCTAGAGCTAATTCAAAGGAGATGTGAGAACAGCATGGCTAAAGGTTAGGGTGACCCTTTCCCTCACAGCTTACAGAATATCTGGCAGTGACCTCCCAACACTTCTTCGACTTATTTGTCTCTGGTCTCTACTCCTATTTGGTTTGCAGTCGGGTAGAAGTGTGGTCACATGTGCTTCTAGCAGGCTCCCAGGCGCAGCATTTTTTTTAGTACGCTGCAGCTTTAGACTTTGAATAGAGCTTTTGTAGAGGACTTGCCCATGCTTTTGTTCTCCACCAAGTTATTGTTCATGTGACCCATCCTGCTGTGGACCCTCAAGAAATAGTTCAGTGGAATTTTAGTCAAGATAGAGAACCAGAGTCTTTCCCATACATACTTTGTCTAATTACTGCGTGTGCTGAAACCACTCTGCAGAGTCAGAAGCAGATCTATTGAAATCCTCCTCAGGATCATACGTATCAAATTAATTCATGTTAATCAGCAACAAGAATAAAGGCTGTAAAGTGAGTAAAGTGAGTTGATTTTTTTGGCACACTGAGGGTAGACTTTAAGATCCATTCACCTGTTCTCTGAATGTTTTCTTCCATTAATTCCATAACAATTCTTCTCAAAGAGTATGTTTCCAGATACAGACTGGAGACACAATCGTGAAGCCAGAACCATGTTCCATTTGTCATGGGAAAGATTTCTAGCTTCTTACAGCTGATTGTTATGTTTCATGAAATAATTCTGTAATGACATTTGCAGGATGAAACTATGAACTTACTCTATTTATTGTATTGGTATCCAGGCCAAATTTAGACTGGTTTTATACAGTACTGTGTGCATTGAAATAGTACTGAATCGGAACGTGTAAGAACTGGTACATGGCTTTCTTCTGCAGAAAGTTGACAGCTAAGAATTGCTACGTTTTGGATTGAGGGGGAGGAGGTAAGCTGTCTGCTGCGCAGCAGTTTTGTCATTCTCAGATCAAGATGCAAGAGGTGCAGCCTTCTGACTTACTCATTGAAATATTAGTCTGACCTTGAATAAAAGCTCAAAAATAAAAAGTAATCATTTGGAAAAAGAATTTCACGCGTTCCATTCAACAGTGCCAGTTGTGCATTGCTCAATGAGAGGAGCATGTTGGAAAGAAGAAAAAAAGATAACAAAAATGAGTGTTATCCTTATCAAGCTGTCATTATGTTTCTTTGACACGTGTATAAATATATAAATCTTCATTTTCTAAGACACCCGAGAAGGACATTTTTGCAGAAACGCGCATAGATTCTTGGGGTGGTCTGACACTGATGCTGACACTGTATGAATAGGCTATCTGAAGATGAAAGACCAATGCAGTCCAACCATGCTTTTGAAATCTGAGGGGTATGGAGTTGAGGGAATAAAAAGCAAGACGGAATCCTGATGAAGAACAGTTATCTCCTGTCCTGAAGACCTACTTATTTGTAGGCGGTTCAGTTATGGATGAATATTTTTCCCTATTATTAATCATTTTGAAAATCATTCGTATTGATTAGGCATGAAAAAGAAAAATCAGATTTAATTTAGTTCAGATAAAATCTCTGAAGATCTGTTTCCATTTGATATGAAGACGCATTAGGAATTTAGTCTGTTCAACCATCTGATGGTATGAATGTGGAAGCTTGCAAAAGTTAGTGCTATAGAGTACTTTGGTCAAATCAAAAATTGGAGGAATGTGAAAGATAAGCAGCAAAGCGTAATGGACAGTAGAATAGTATTATCTGTTACCAAATAAATTTTGAGAACGTGTTCTTATTGGGTTCTGTCCAAGAGAAATAATTGAAATGTTGATGCCACTGATAGTTGCTGGCGTTCTCCTGAAATGAACAGCTGAGGATTAAGACAAGTAAATAAAGAATAAGTCTGGCAGCTGAGAGAAACAGGCAATGGTGATGGGAACGTAATAGCCGAAGTTCTGTGTGATCATCTGGTGCTGGAGTATGGAATACAGGGCTTTTATTTCAGGGCCGCTGTTGATGAATGTATATAAACAAGAGCATGCATTTCCAAGCATTTCAGTTTTTCCTATCTGAAAATAAGGATGCTTTGTAATTAGTTCAGTGGTACTGTAAGGACTGATCAATTCATTTGTATGTAGAACATTTTGAGATTTTGAATAGAAGATTTAGGACGTAGAGCTGAACACATTTCTTATTTATATATTTATTTTTAATTCCTTTGTTGTTCCTATTCCTTCTTTATATATAGGAACACACAACATTATTTTTTTTTTAAAAAAACAGGATGCAGTGTTTTCCTTTATGCTGTTTAGAAAATGCATTTCAAATTAAATGGTGTTTTCTTTTTTTTTTTTTTAACTGTCCAGTTTTAGGAAGAAATACATTGACATTTTATAATTAAGTTAGCAATTTTCCTCCTCAGTCAGAGGCTACTGGAACGAAAGAGAAGATGAAGCAGTAATGAAAAGGGATTTGAAAATTTTGGCTCTTGACATTTGATTTTGGCAGAAATTTGAGTCGGTGCCAAACAAGCCAGTGAGACGTACTGAAGTCAAAAGCGACTCTGGCATCAGTGGCACAGGCAGCTGCTCTGACCTGCATTTGTCAGCACATGACAATGGTATCAGAATATTTTAAGTTAGGAAAAAACTACTGCAGCATAGATGAATAATTAAAAAAAATTGTTTTTTCCTTTTTATTGCAAGCGTTGGAAGCTAGGTCTAACACTCGGTTTAAGTTATAGTTTGTTTTATTCTAAAACAGAATGAAAAGATTAATTCTGTGGAAGATATGAAAATTTTAATTATACAGCGCACCTTAAAATTATTTCTGTTTTTAGTATAAGTGGTATATTGACTAAGGAACAGAACAAAGTCTGAGGAACATTTTCCCCCTCCCATTTAATAGAAATTGTTTGATCTTTTGATTTTTAAGTGTCTGTTCGAGTAAGTCCAAGGATGACTTTTTCATATTGTGGTCTGTAATTGTTATGCATGTATCATTGCAACTTACTTTGAAATTGTTTAAAATTAAATATGGTCAGAGAAGCATAGTGCTCAATCCCGGAAAGGGGATTTGATGAAATAATCAAATTTAAAAATTTAAACCCTGCTGTAAGACAGGATCAGCTATACTTTAACTATTCCTCAGTTCATTCAGCCTTTAAAAAAAAAAAAAAAAGTCCTATCTTGGATTCTTCCCAGGATAAAAACGAGGAGGGAAAATTAGGAAATTGAATTCTATGCATTTTATATATTGGTTTCTGTTAGGCTGCAAAGCATAAGTGTTTGAGTTTTGGAGCCTTCAGAGGTTTGGTCCTCACTATTTTACATCACCCTTGTAATGCAGGAGTTGCACCTAATGTTTGCAGCTCACGTGGTAGGGAGGCAGTAGCTCTTAGAATGGAATCCTGACTGCTGTAGTTACTTTTAATTTTTCCTTTTGAAAAAAGAAGCATGGTTTGACCTAATCCTCATGATACATCTTCATGTTTGTTTAAAGTGGTATCTGGACATGGATACACAAATGTTAATTTGAAGTATTTTAAAGTAGCAAACAAAATCCCAAATGCCTTATTTCCTCCTTCCTTTTGCGTCAGACATGCTGCTTATTGGTCTGTGACTAAGTACAGAGGGAGGTTTTGTGGTCAAGACTTGACACTGTGTTTGCACAAAGTTAGCACTCCGTATCTGTTTAGCTGAGTGTTTTGTCATGGATATGGCAGAGAAATGGCCTGGGATGTCTTATGTGATACCATCCTTGCCTGTCTTTTACCCTACCTTGGTTATTGCCATCCCCCTTGTATGGACAGCTGAATGGCATGTGCATCTGCTCATAAACCTGCTGCTGTTCAGTCTGGCCTATTAAGGTAAAGTAATCTTGGTTTCAGTTTGCTTTAATATACTAGATCTGAACTGAAATAGTTCAGTTGTGGATTGGTGTGCTGTTCAGTCCTCTCCTATAGAGACAGGTGTCTGTAGGAGACCTCTGGTCAGAAAGTTGAAAGCAAGAATAGTTTCAGTAATCCCAGTTTGTGCTAGCCCTGGGCCAGTTAGGCTGTTCAGATGATCTCAGGGAGAGTCTGAACAAGATTTACTTGTGGTCGAGTGCTACATTGGAGAAGTCAGGTAAGTCATTCTCGGAGGACGCCCATACTTAAGAGTTTGTCCGACCTCTTAAGTGTCAGTGCGTTTCACGGAGGAACATGACCTGCAGCTCACCTGACTTCTCGGTAAAGCTGAAAGCAGCATGCTGCTTCCTGTTAAACAGACCTTGGGAAATCAGCCTGGTAAAGTCTGCCCCTTGATATCTCTGTACAAGTTTTGGATCTACAATGCTGTTTTATGTTTTACATGTAGTATGTTTTAATACAAAGCAAAGTTTTAGGTTTTAACTAATTATTACTATTTTCTTAATTCTGCATTAACATGTGTTCATGCCTACTGAAATGTCTAAAATTTAGGACAGGTAAGGAAACTCCAGGAAAATTAACATAATTCATTTTTATGTTATCATATATTGCTAGAGCATTTTATGATTATTTATGCTGTCTTCTAGTCCAGATGTTGCCTGGCAGGCACAAATAGTACATGGAGATATTTTTGTGATATCATCCGTTGCATATGACAAATGTGCTCGTTTCCAGAGCTGCTGTTTGTCTGCAGCTGACAGAGTGCCAGTACCCTGGCCAGCTGAGAGGAGAGATTTGAACAAAGGAGACGTTGGAGAGAAAAGAGAATGAATCTGAACAGCTTTTTCCTTGGAGAAACCAGGTGTAATTTTTAAGGTGGCTTGTTCACCTCAGATTCCTAAAACAGTTGCAATGGCAAACTGTGCTGAGATTGGAAAATAACAGACAGATTATTCATCCAGAGATTCTTGCTGTCTTTCCCATGGACTTACAGGCATTCTCTGCTCGTTTTAACACTGCTTTGCCCATGTGAGTCAAAACTGGGGTTGGAGTAAAACACAAACCATTACGTGGTCCTAGTCAAAGTCTACGCATCACATTAAGCTGCCTACTTTATTTGAGTTTAAACAGGAGGAGGAAAAAAAAAGAAAGAGCAAGCACAGAATTCATGTACGTGAACTCCTGTGCGTGTAAGAGAATTGAAACACGTTGCAGAGAGAGGCTTGCAAGCAGTTCTTGTAGTGCACTCAAAAATACTTCTGAAGCACAATGAAACTCAAGCAGTTTTCAGACTTTAGTCACCAGAGCTGTTGATCTTCAGCTGGGAATTGGAAGACCTTTCTGGCACTGCTGTGTTGATGAGAATGGGAAATTGACTTTGCAAAGTTGTAAATGTTATTGTCTATTTACTTGCCCTTGAAAATGCTATAAATACTCGGTTACTGTGTAATGAAGTATGAATTATTGCAGTGAAGTTATTTGCAGCATGAAATGTGCCTCCAGTACAATTAAAAAAAAAAAATACTGCTATAGTATACTTCTTTACAGGTTGTGAAGGCTGGAAACAAAGTGCATAGCTTTGGAAAGAGGGAGCAGGCTATCAGGAGGAATCCCAATGTTCCTGTTATAGTAAGAGGCTGGTTACACAAACAGGTATGCATGTAATCATCTGTTCCTGTCTATGTATTTCAACATAATCCTCAAATTGAAGCAAGTGCCTTTCAGGTACGAATGAAAAAACAAAGAATCTAGATATTAGTGATGCAGAGCAGTGTTTGGAACTCCCACTGTCTTTCATGGTGAGTGGCTTGTGCTGAGCAAGTAGGAAAAAACCAAGTTTTACATACAGGTTTGACTCAGAAGTGGAAACAAAGATAAATGGATGCTGCTATAATGGTTAAATGCTGCAGCTATAACTTTATTGTCTAAATCTGATCATTTTCCCTATTTTATCCTGCTGGCTTGCTGCCATGCAGATCTCGGTCTCCCTCAGAGCGCGCTATAAACCTGAGGTTAACTATGGAGACCTTACTCCATCTGCATGCTTATGCCCTTGTACCCTGGTTGAGGGCTTAGTTCCAACTCAATTGCCTTTTATCCTCCAGAAGCAGGAGGGAGAAGATGAAAGGAGACAGGGACCTGTTCACCACACTATATTGCCACCAAGACCAGTGTCAGACAAAGGCTGGATTATAGGATTTCAGTCAGTGCACAGAATTTTACAGCTGTTGCATCTTGAATTCTTAAATTGACAAAAGTGCATCCTTCAGCGCACAAAGTAAATAAAGCCGTTTGTCATATGAGAGAAATACTTTTCTCCTTCAAATTTGACAGTCAGTGTCCAGCAGATTATCACCAGAGATCTAGCATCTAAATTAAGGACTGAGAAAGAGAAGGCTAATCTGAGGTTTACAGTTATGATTCTACATACACAGGAAGTGTCAGTTGCTGACAGCGATTCACTTCCTCCTACGTGGAGATGTGTATTCCTCCATCAGTTTTGTTGACATCAGCTACCCAAGTCCATTAGTTTTCAGGACAGAATCAGAGCTCAGATACAGTATGTGTTGACAGCATCGTAGCATGAAAAAGGAAAGGGAAGAAAGTTGTTGCGTACTTAATGTTGGTGCAAAAAGAAGAAAAATAGTGTATATATAACACTCCACGAAAGTCCATCTCAGTTTAATAGGTTGTGCTTAGGTTATGGTGTGGCAATTTTACAGTCTTCTAAAACTGTGATATATCACTTCTAGAAAGTGATATATAGTATAAATAAATCTATATATCTCAATGGGCATGTTAAATTATACTTCATTTAACTTTGTACATTGTGCACCCTATTTTGTTTCCTAAGGAATAGCTGATTACACTGTATTTTAGCTATAGGCAGCATATGGGAAATTGCCTCTAGGATTATAGGGGATCATTTTCTGACATGTGCAGTCATGCCTCAGAGCTGTACAGTGATTTTTATCTTGATCTAAAAGCAGTCCTTGTTGGAGTTTGTGCCATCTGGATGCATACTTCATTTCCTCATTGCTGGACCAGTCGGTCTAGAAAAAATATGTACTGATTGTGTAAAAGGTTAAGCTGAACGCTCTTAGGGTATGAGTTTAATGACTTAATAGAAATTGTCAGTTTGACTATTGTATCCTGGGCAATCATTTTGTAATTGATTGTAGCTTTCTTAATGCATGTTTTGCTAAAATATAAAACACTTACTTTGCAATTAATACCATATTCAGGTGAACCTCTGGTAAGCCACTAACTAGTGTAACATTGCATGATTAGATGTTAGCTTTCTTTAAATGAAAAGTATATCACATTTCTTGCATTTCAGGACAGCTCTGGAATGAGATTATGGAAGAGACGGTGGTTTGTGCTTGCTGATTATTGTTTGTTTTACTACAAAGGTGAGTAGGTAATACAAGATCTTTCGAGTTTGTAATAATTTACCTGTTCAAACCACACTGTAAGATTAAGGTTAATTTAATTCTTCAGATACAGTCAGGCTGTTTGAGAGGATGCATCATGAAACTCTGATTTACCCATATCTTTTTAGTGCGTGGCAAATTTCGGGCCACAACTTGGGATCAAGAGCGTGCTCTATGATCTTTCATCATATAACATATCTTTATTGTATGCCAAGATTTACATTACAAAATTTTTGGGCAGCAGTACAGTTTAAGATTTTTTTTTCCCCATCCTCGTTCTGCCTTGTGTTGCCTGCTTGCTTGAGCCTGCATAACTGATTTTGAGAATGCACTGTGACTCGATCCGGGAAGTGATTCAGCTTTAAACCGGAGGGATAATGTGAGAGTGGGAACTCCGAAGCCACCATTTCTGTCAAAAACGTTTGGATATAATCTTAGTCTGAACTAGGAATAATGGTATAGTATTACACAGGGCTATTGGGAAGTTTCAAATATGTATTGCATGTTACAGTTCTTGGAAAGAATTACAGAATATGGTGCTCTAATTCCTATTTGTAGCTTCTGCATTTCTGCTGCTGATCACTGAAAAGCCAGTAGTAACGGAGTTTTATTAATTATAGTAACCAGCCTACGTATAGAATGCTAAATGGAAAGTCTGTCATGTTATGCAGGCTGTCACAGTCCATATGTCACAATAGGCCTCAACAGAAGTTTTATTCTGGAAGCTTGTTCTTCTGTCTGAATCTTTTAAACAAGCAAAAGCAAAAACAAAAAACAACACCTAAAATCTGTTTGGTTCAAAAAATTTCAGTATCAGTTCTTTAATGATAAAGCATTTCTCCATTTATTACTTGTGAAGGGTCATAGGAAAATTCAGGTGAAAAGGGGTCTTCAGGAAGTGTCTAGTCCAACCTCCTGCTCCAAGCAGGGCCAGGTAAGCTCAGGGCTTTTTCCAGCTGGAAACCACCAAGGATGGAGCCTGCACAGCCTCTTTGGGCAGCCGGTTCTACTGCTTCTCTGTCTGTACGGTGAAAATTTTTTCCTGATTTGCAATCTGAACCTCTCTTGTTTCAACAACATGCCCACTGTCTCTTGTCCTTCTGTCATGTACTAGTGTGTGTCCATAGGGAATATGTACCGTTTCTTTACTAAAAAGTGCAGTGGGTTATATTTTATTTTTTTATTTTTTTATTCAACAGACAGCAGAGAAGAATCTGTTTTGGGTAGCATACCGTTGCCTAGTTACGTAGTATCTCCTGTTGGACCTGAAGATCGCATAAATCGCAAATTTTCTTTTAAGGTACAGTTACAAAGCTTATTAGCTAGGCATATTTGAAAATGTTTATTTGCATGAGAAAAGATGTTATATACAGAAACATCATCTGCTTTCCTAAATTTTTTGGAAAGCAGACAGGTTTACTGACTGCCTGTTCAAATGTGACGTAGCGCTTTTTTGTTACTAATAGATTGAAATTCATCTGTCTGTTTCTATGAAGTGACTTTAGAACTGTATAATGTTTCTATGAGTAAAGATCCTTTTTCTAAAATCAGAAATAATATTGATAACTTGTTCCAGTGCTGTTTTATGAATTGAAATAAATTTGATTTTTCTTTATAGAGTACTTGATCTCATAGTGGACTGATCATCTGTTTTGTAATAATACCACAAGCTCAATTTTGGCAGTTAGAAAATGACAGTATTGTGACTTTTGATGTTTAATTTACTCATTTGAAGGGGAAGAAAAGCCTGACTTTTTTCCTCCGTGTTTGGGAACAATAGTTGCCTTGAATGTCATTCAGTAATTTTTTTTTTTTAATAAAAACACTTTTGTTTGATATAGTTTTTTTATTGTTATTGTGAATTGGATAATTTACAGTTTGTTCATAATTTTAAAAATGTATAAAAATGAAATAAAGCGTATGTTCTTTCTTGACAGTAGAAAAACCTGTCTGCAATTCATTGTCTAAGCTGCAGCACTAAGGCAAATTTTAGAGACTTCAGTGTACGTTGCAGACTTAAATTATACAAATACTTGGAGCAGAACCAGTTTTTCTATCAGGCAAATGAACTAGGAATTAAAAAAAAAAAAAAGTTTTGCAATTCTAGATCACTTATATCTGATCAAAAAGGAAACTGTTTATATCTTTTCTGTTCAAAAGTCACAAAAACCATTCACTCATCTTGAATTTTCTCTTGCATTTTGTTTTTTGTGGAGGTTTAAAAATCCAGACTGCCTTTTGTTCTTTTGGGTTTTGTTTTCAAGTGGATAAGGGTCTGAAATGTATTAAACAAATATTGACTTGGGAAATGCATTTAAAAAAAGGTCCAGTGCGCTTTCTGGAAATGTTTATTGTACTTTTTCAAATGCATCAAAGGTGAGATAAGAGGACAAGCTACAAAGGAACCTTTATAAAAGACATTTTACTCCAATATTTAATGAATGTGATTCATAAAGCCCTCCTCTGTTAGAGCATTTTCCTGGGAAGAAGCACATACTGAAAGAGGAGGACCTAGCGTATGTCTAGACTTCTATATCTGTCAAATAAATATTAGGGCAGAGTGGGTGAGGAGATAGAGAAAATAGCAGTAGTAGTATCTATTTTAATCTAGTTGTTTTGGAGTTTAAAAAAGGATTTTTATTTTCTTGAAAGAGTATTTGTAAATGTTAATCAAAAGTAGGTTAGAATTGTTAACCATTTCAACACTTCCACTGATAAAGGGGGAAAAACAAACAAACAATCTGTGCGTGTATATACGTTTGTATTTTCCTAACAGTATGTTCTTTAGGCAGGCTCTCAAGTCACTACTGTGTTTTCACACAGAATAGAATCCGTGGTTGTGATTGGGGTTAACCATTTTCAGAAGCAATTAGACTTCCCTGTCTAAGTTCCTTCTCAAATGGGCTAAGATATCATGCCTGTATGAGCTTTAGCAAGCGTTTACTCTGGGTCCTCTTCTGAAAATGAGGATGAGCCAGTGACCTGGGGCTTTCAGTGTTAGGCTCATTACAGAAAAAGTTGATACAGAAATAGGGAGTTTAGCCAAGAAGATTTATGCTAGAAAACTGGTGTAAGAAATCTGAAACGTATATTTAATATATGAGAGTTTGTTGGGCTGGTCTTGACTCTGCCTTAAGTGATTGGCGATTGAGCACAGGCTTAATGTTGCTGTGATCGTTTCATTTAAAACTGACTTCTGCGGCGGTAGGAGGATTTTGCAGGATTTCTGTGGCATAGATCGCATCTAATGCTGAAATTCCATGCCCCTGGCGTTGGCCGTGGGCATGCAGAGTGGTGGGAGCACGGCCTTACTGGAATTCCGTCACTCACCAGCCATTACGTTTATCTAATCTCTGGGTACACTTTAATATCCAGAGCATAGATGGATATTCTGTCTCGTGACGTAGTACAGACAGAAATAGAAAACACGGGAAGATTAAGCCCAATGTAAAGATAAGACTTTCACATATAATTCCTGAGTGGGTGGGAGAATGTGTGAAGTCACCTTTTACATATGGCTGGTCATTTATTCGGATTTTTGTAAGCTGCTTGTTACAATAGAGGTCTCAGCTTCTATTTTAAAATGGATATTTTTGGTAACAATGAATTTCTGAAGCTGGGGAAGTAGCCAAAGTCGAGGGAGGGAGGGATTTTTTCTTTAAAAGAAGAGAATTTACCTGGCAAATGCATTAATGCTTTTTGTATGTGATTCAGTTAGGAGAAGGTTTTTAAAATACATTCTTACTAGGATATATGTTAAACCTTATAACTATTTAAACTGTGCACTGTAGAAGTTATAAAAATTCTGATCCTTTAATATCTCCTAAGGCCTGAGCTCAGGATTTTGCATCTCTCGGGACGCCTGTGCAGTGATGTGCCAGTAGAACTGCATATAGGCTGTTCCCATGCCTTCTAAACCTGCTTTGAAGTGCAGCAGTATATGTGTTAAATTGTTTTGTTTAGAAGTTTCATTTTTTAAGTGTCCTTCTTGACAAATTTTTCACATTGTTTATTTGCCCCGAGCAAAGTGCAGTAACTAGCTATAAGCTACTGTCGTTAAGTTGTATGATGGCCTTTTTGGGACTCAGGATTCTTACTGCATATTTAGTTCAGTAGCTAACATGTTATAGATATCTAATTAATCTAATCGCTATATTTCTTAATATTGTAGGTTTTTTGCCAATACAAATGTGAAGTACCACAAATTCTTCATACATTTTTTACTGTGAAAAAGCTTGCACATCAGTAATACATAGCTGGAAATATTCCATGTGACGAATAGAGGATTTACTGTACTTTATAGTAATACAACGATTCTTAAAGTATTATCCATTTAGGAAGGTTAATGGCATTGCAGTCTCTTATATGTGTTAGGAATATATGAGAGAATGCGGGAAGTGAATGCATTTATATGAATCTGATATTAATACAAGTTGAGAAAATTGGAAGGCCTACCAACATCTTCTGTAAAGAAAATAACAGCTAAACTTCGTGGAAAGGCCATGGACACAAGTGTGTGTTTGCATTTAGGAAAGCATCTTGCTACCAAATAAAGTCAATGAAGAAGGCTCTGATGTTTCTCTAAGGGGTAGGAGATATAACACTGGAATTACCCAAACACTCCGTTTCACCTTGATACTACCTTTTAAAAATTTTATTTCAGAAATTCACCCTGGCAATGTGAGTGCATTCAGAGCTGAAGATGCCAGGCCAAATCTTTATTTCCAAGAGATGCTACTGCAGTTTGTTTTTAAATATCTTTTCATTATTGACACTCCGGGTTTATTAGTGGACGTTATCTGTTAATTGCTTAGACCTGCTCGGACCAGGGCAAGCCTCTTACTGTTTCTTGTGATCTTACTCTTCTTCCTAAAGTTTTTGTTGACAGTTTTGTTCTTTTATGTACTCTGGAACATTTTTGTTTCCTTAAGCTCCCATAGTATTTATGAAACTTCTAGGAGTCTGGGGAGTCAGCTGAAGAAGTGCCAAGTGCTAGAAGCTTGAGAGGCACCTTTTTAAAATTTTGGAGAGAGGAGGGAAAGGTCTCAGCTTCTAGAATGCCTGAAAAACCTCAGTCTTATTTGGGATGAAAGCGGAGTTAGATTTTAGTGTGTCGTTTGTGTCGTATAGCAAAGGGATGGAGTATTATTTCAATTTTTGTGTGTAAATGTTTCATAAATTTCAAACTTTAGGAGAAAGAAGAATTTACTATATTTTTATAGCTCACTAGGAGGACTGACATTACTTACTGCATATTTTTCTTAGCATCACCTTTGTTAAGTATATTCCTTGAAAACATGAATCTTTTCATGATTTTAACCTGTTTAACTTTTTGTCCTTGTCTTGTCCTCTTGATTTGCTCTTGGGGTTTACTGTCCATTTCTCCTTCTGTGCATTATGGGAGAGAGACTGCTTTTCTTCTCAATCTGTCCACATTAAGGCATCTGAATGCATGAATAGGTACCAGTATTATTTTTTCCATGTTGTGTGCATGGCGTGTGTGTGTGCATGTGCTGTGCTTTAGACTTTTTAGTATGCTGTAGTCATCCTAATAGCTATTGCTTTAAATTAAAAAAGAGAATCAGTAGCCTCTGTGTCTGTTAGCAGTGACAGCTGCAGGACATTAGCACAAGTTTGCTTTCTTGCATCTTAGATGTACTACTAATAAATAACTGAAATATATTCGAATTTTCCTTTAACCAGTTATATATGTTAAGAACTGCAGAATGCCGGGTTTGTTGATAGTAGCACAACGCCTCCATTATCCCTTCTGAAGCCATCCCATCTGATGGATGTTTATGGCCATGATAGCTGCAGTCTCTCAAGGGAGAATGATGCAATATACTCTATATTTTTATACCATTTTTACCTATGGCCCTTAGGCAATGCTTTTAGTTATGTTTATTATGTACCACTGAAAAGAGAACATGAAAGGCAGACTGATCATGTTGATCAGGACGTACAGGTGAATTCAGACAGACAGCTGTTAAATACATTTATTAAGATGATGCTCTACACAGTAGTTTTGCAACAAGTATTTAACCAGTGAATGCTGGGACTCTACTCCATAATCCACAGCAGAGTATAATAATCTGCTTTGCTGTAGGAATTGCTTCACTTCTGAATTACAGCATCTTCTTCTGTAGAGTCAAAGCGGTCTGTAAAGGAACACCCTGCAGTTATGAGGTCTGCCTAAATCACTTATTTCCTTTTCTTCAGGATCTGTCACTTTTGGTCTGTTCTTGCACTGTGTGTTAATCGTAAATTTTAGTGAATTAAATCCTATTTGTTTTGGAGCAACTCTAAACCTCAGTAGTGCTCTCAGGATGGCAAAAAAGTGAACAAAACCCCGCAAACCCAAAGAACTCAATGAACCAGCCAGTCAGTCAAATTAGAAAAAAATCCTTTCTGATTCCTTAGTAAGCAATTGATCAGACGTGCTTTTCATAAATGTAAGTCCTGTTTTCCTGTATTAGGGTAGGTAATGGGTGGGAAGGGAGGAGTCATCTTGTTTTCTCTTGTTGCAAATGTTGTTGGGAAGCAGAGACTCTTTGGAGCAGAAGCTACTCTTGGGCTTCTGTACACGTCCTCCTCTTCCTAGCTGGCTGTTGTGCTGCGGTCTGGTCAGCCTCCCCACTGCAGGGGTGATGGCAGTCAAGGGGCTCGCCTGGAGGAGACTGTATGCCATGGTTATCAGAAGGAAACAAGGCTTCCTTGCTCGAGATACTCGTGCAAGGGAGATAAAAGACCGCGTTTCACACGTTTGTACGGGCAGACTGCAAAAGAAAAGGAGTACCTTTTTCTCAAAACTTAAAGCACTATAATAATAAGCAAATCTTTTTGCTGTTCAGTATGGTCGATCTGAATCTCTAGCCTTAGGCCAATTTCGGAAATTCAGCTAAATAGCTGAAATTACATCACTTAGGGAGGTCTGCACCGAGTTAAATAGCCTAGATCTTGTGAGAACTATTGCTTTATTTCTGAAATCATCTACGATTGTAGAGTGTTTTTCAATTTGGAATAATGAGGGGGAGGTGATTCCATCAAAATAAAAAGACTTGTCATTTAGGGAAGATGCACAAAATAATTTGACCTTTAAAAGATGTAGCTTAATTAAAAGGTTGAGGTTTTTTTTCCTTTAAAAAAAAAACCAACTGTTTTCAGCCATTAGCTTTTGTAGATGATAGTAGTTCTAGATTTATTTAAAAAAAAAAAGTTTAAATTACTCATGTCTTTAAAATATTGCTGCAAGAACTTTCAAGCTGAAATATTGGCTTCATTTTTTTTGAAAAACAGTACAGAAAGGAATCTCTTCCTATTAATTCCATTAACAGTAGTGGACATCATCAGAAGCACGTTTGTAAATTAACTTGTAGGAAATGTAGTTAAGTGTTTCAGGACTGGTATGACTTAAAATTTACTCTCCCTTATATAAGTATGGATGAGATTTAAACTTAACTGCCATAAGATTATGAAGACGTTCCATACTGAACATGTTTATAATACCTTTGGCCTAGTGACAATAATAGTTATTTAAATAGACTTAGAGGAATTTACAAATACCTCTCGTTTTCGTTGGAATTTCATGGAATATTTTGATGTGCACAGATCTTATGTGCTTTGATAATTCCATCAGTATTACTAATTTTATCAGTAAGTCTTGTAATTTTGTAGCTGATGCAGATGTTTAAGTGCATGCATTAACCAAAAGATCTTAACATGCAATGTAATCATTTCTTAAATAAGCAGTTCAGTTACTTGAATTGTAAGATTTTTGTCCATTTTTTGGCTGAATATATTGATATGTGAAATGAGCTGGGAAAATTGGCTCACTTATGCATATCTCAGTGAGACTTTCTTTGATTTGTTTTGTATGGTATTTACAGCAAATGAAACATCAGTTAGCGAAGAGAAAACGTAAAGCTGAAAACCCCTTCTATGAGAAACAAATTACTGCACTGTTAGCTTAATAGTGTGAAAAAGTCAAGGAATTTAACTAAAAATTAGAGTACTATTATGTTTGAGTTTGCTGCACTGCAACCAATTGTAGTGTAATACTTTTACCCTAAATTCAAGAAAACACTCTTAAAAATCTATAATGCTTTTAAAGGTATCAAGAAAAGCTGCAATAAATTTTCTGGGGAAAAAATGATAACACTGCTTGATTTTTCTTTTTTCCTTTTTTCTCCCCCCTTCCATAGGCTGTTCACACAGGGATGAGGGCATATATTTATAATAAGAATTCTGTTATTGGCTCTCAGGCAGAGCATTCAGGGATGCGGACATACTACTTCAGTGCAGATACGCAAGAGGATATGAATGGCTGGATCCGGGCTATGAATCAAGCTGCCCTTATGCAAACACACTCTTCACTGAAAAGGCAAGTTCAATATACCAACTCCTAGTTTTTTTTTAAAAAAAAAAAAAAAAAAAAGCTTGCCAAAAATCAGAATGGTGGTGATTTGTAAAAATGATATTTTTAAATGCGTGCGTGGAACTTGCTCCCATTTTAAAGAAATAATTCCTTTTAATGTAGATTCTGCAACTATTTATTCTGTTGCAAATTGGTCAACTCACACAAGCTAACTAATAGTATCCAGGGCTCGATATTTGTATCCATGTGGAAATTTTATGCCCGCGTTTGATAACGTGGATTTCTTTTTTTTGTTCCTTCTTTTTGAAGGGGATTTCTGTTAAACTGTTGCAATTTTTGCATATGCCTGCATATACCTGCAAGAGCCAAGTGGTGGACTTAAGGAAGATAGATAAAAGAGAAAAGACAGGGTGGTGAATTGTTTCAAATGAGTGTTTAGAACTAGGATTAAAATGCTAGTAAGAGGGAAAAGAATGTTAAAGATGGGTGGATAGTAAGTGCATAGAGTTAAGGCTATTAACTCTTTTATGCAGATATTATCTGCTAATTTTCTGTCTTACTTGCCTGGCCTTTAGTACCTGCAAGAGTTCTGTGTTCTTCTCAAAGTAGAAGAAAGCACTGCTATAAAAGAAGGATGTCCGTCAGTATTACCTAGGTCTAGAGGTGAACGAATTCAGCTGTGTCTTTATTCTTCCAGTTTGTTCTTTTCCTTAAAGCAGATTTAGCCTTCATGTTTTCACTTTGGGAATATGCTTTTTTTCCGTACTATGCCTTGTAAAGGAAGACTCTGTACTGTGAGGAAACCCTGCTTTTAACCCTGGGGCTCTGAGGATTAAATTGTCATGATGCAGTTTCTCAGAGTACTTTGCACTAGTGCTTGCTTCTGGCAAATCTGTGATACAATACAAGCAAAGGATCAACAGCAATTCCAGAGCTTTGCATTTTCTTGTCCTAAATAATTCTCGACGCTGTTATACCTGTCTGATTTTGTATTAAGATTCTTCTTCTGGATTTAATTTCAGCTGCAAATAACATTTAATCCTTTATGTATTTTTCTTTATGTCCTTTTTAAGGATAGGAGTAATTGAAAGAAAAATCAGGGAGGCCTAGTGTATTATTAAGCATTAGTCCATATCTTTAATCCAAGTAGACTGTTCATTTGGCGACACTAAAATAGACTGAAGTAAAAACAGTTGTTTCATGGAACTTGCTCAGAATTTACCTTCTTTAAAGTGTTAAAGAAGCTGAACTTAGTTTCAGGGAAGAGGAGGTGCTACTAGGAGATCAATGATACTCTATTGTCGGGGAAAAAACGTAGAGAAGCTTATGACTATAAGGAGAGAAAGTTGCAAGAGAAGTTGGTTAGTTTTCAAAAGCAACATTAGAACTTGTAATACCCTTAGAGATGTTATAGTGCATTGTAAGATTAAACTAATATCAGAAGAATTCTGTAGAATTTTTGAAAGATGTAGGAGATGAGGCAAATAATCAAACTACTCTGCTTGGGATGTATTAGGAGCTCTGCTGAGTTGGTGGGGTATTTTTGGTTTTTTGTTTTTTGGGGTTTTTTTGTTTTTTGGTAGGAATACCTCCCAAATAAAAGATTCACAGGTCAGTGATAGTATTGACCCAAATTTTGATGATGTTCTCTCCCCTTGGCCTGAAATGACCAATCCCCAAGTCATCTACAAAAGCCTTGAAAGGCTTTTTTGGCTTTGAAATGAACAGTTGGCACGGTTTTTTTTGTTTTGTTGGCTTTTAATATTTCCCAGGATAGGAAGATCTTTCTTGTGTATAGCTGTTTATAGACGGTGTTGCACAAGCTGAACACTTCTGTTGTACAAAGTAAGTATTTTCTGTTTGTTTTTACAGATGCATATTAAAGATTGCTGTTTCTTTGATAGCAGTGTAAAGACAACTCTTGTCTAACTGGGGTAACAGCTGAGTGTTACTGAGCGCATCTATCTTAGCGTATCTCTATGAAAATTATCACAGCCTGGAAAAGTTACTTTTGTGTGTAATCCTTTAAAATATTAAGGAATTCACATCAACTTTTCACAGTTAAGTGGTGTTCGTTACCAGCACATATTCTCTTTTCAGAGAAACTGAAAAAGTGGATCCGCAAGCTGTTCCCCAAGCCAATCACGTGGATGCCTGTAAAGAGCGTGTGAAGACAGAGATTACAGATTTAAAAGAAAGTTATCAAAAATCAGTGGAAACATTTGGATATGGTAAGCGTGAAGAGATAAGAAGAGAAGAAGAGGAGGAGGAGTGTTATATCCATGGAAAAGAAACTCTGGAAGCTAAGAAAGGAAAGGCCAAGCATGCATTAACAGAAGCTGATCCGTTATATCCAGATTTAATGAGTGCACCTCGGTCCCAAGTAGCTCAGCCTCAGCCAGTTGAGAAGAATGGAACGCTCCCTGGCTCATTAAATAAGAGCGCTGGTCTAGTGGAGCAGAATGGTACCAGCTCATATAAAAGAGGGTTTGTTCCCAGAACAAATCCAGATAAACAGATTCAAAGAAAAAGTAACATGGCTCAAGTGGAGCACTGGGTAAAAGTCCAAAAAGGAGATACAAAGAGGTTAGTAACAGGCCAATCTTTAAACAGACTGCCTAGTAGAATGTCCTTAAACTATAGGAAAATATTTATTTGTGACATGCGTAGAACAAATGGCAATGATATTCTACAGAGACAGTGTGTAACAAGGCTAATGTTCTCCTCCAGTGCGGAGCAGTATTTTTAGATGCTTATCTCATGGGAAAGTCAATATGGAATAGACTAATCCAGTTCCTTTAACGTTGTCACCAATTTGCAAATGTAAAAGCTCAGATTAGTGGGATTTTTTACTTTTTTAAGTAATTTTGAATGCTTGAAACTTCTTAGAAGTTTACTAAAATTGAAGAGCCAGAAAATGAAGTGTGTCCCTCAGTTCTCTCTTATTCGTAAAACAAACAGCTGCAGTGTGAAGTATAGACATTCATTTGTTTTCCACTTCAAAGTATAAAATAAAAAATGCTGATTTTTTTAAAAATCTTTTTTTCTTTTTTCCCATTCCCCTTTCTATCACACCCATTCACTTTTGCATATCAGATCACTGCATTCAAAGTCGTGTCTATGTATCACACCTCAAAAGGTCTCTGTATATTCAGATAGCTAATGGAGAAGTTCTGAGATATTCCTATGGTCTCCAGGATGCCCTTTTTCTTTTTCAAACTCTGTAAATTGCATAAATTACAGTATACCAAGAGAGAGAATGCACAGTGGAACTGTGATTTTAAAATCTTGCGGTTGCTTCCCTTTCAAAATGTTCAATCGGATTATATACCAGTTGCAAAAAATGAAGTGATGGCTATATACTTCAGTTCAGGAGGATCTCGCCTTGTGCCTCGTGATAGGAAGAAGTTGGGCTCTGTGCTGCATGTGAGGCGTTTTCAAACATGAGTAACTTACAGAATTAGTACCTCATGTGTTAGTTACAATCTAATTATGATATAGAGCCATTGGAGACATGAGCGTGTGGTGTTCAGAGAGAACGTATAGTGGACTTTTTTGTAAAGGCTTATTGAAACTAATATTTCTCATCGTGGATCCAGTAAGAAATTGGAGACTTGTGATTTCTGTTTGAAAGTACTTTTTAAAAAATCTTTCTCATCACCGGAAGTACCCTTAGAGAAGCTTCTATGCTTTTCAGTAATACTTAATGTTCTTTTAGAATGCTAGGGTCAGTTTATATGTGTATTTTTTATTGGATATCTACCAATGCTTGCTGAAAGAGTGCAACATTAGTAAAAGAAGCATTTGGTGCATTAGCTTGAGCATCTTTCTTTTTGAATGCACAGGTATATCATTTTAAAATAATACTGAGCAACTATTTAAGAAGAGCTTAAGAAAATTTGTTGAGGTTCCCTCCTGCCACACACACTCATCAAAAGCATAGGCAGTGAGCAGACTTGATGCGTATCAGAGTATGTGCTGCTTTTTTCCTAATTGTTCTTTCCACTAAGTCAACTTCAGGCATGTTTCATGCATAGTGTTGAGACAGTGCTGTTGCAGGTTGCCATCTTTTGTTCCAGATAAAAACAGTTACCTACCTAACCAGAGCTGTGAAGTGTTCAGTGAAACTTTGCAAGAGTTAGCTGTAGTGATGTCACCAAAATCTAACTTGATAGATATTTTTGTAATTTTCTTTCTACCTAAAGACTTTCTTTGTGTTCTAGTTTTGCTCCGTTGACCTTGTTTTCCATGCATTTCCCTGAAACATGCCTTTGCTTTCTCTGTATTCAGGATAAATTCCATGTTACCTTCCCAAAGATTAATGGCTTGGTTTTTTATGGCATCTTCTCACAGTCTGCCAAATTTGTTGCAGTGCGCTTCTCTGATGGATAGAAGTGGTATGATAGTTGTCAGATGTGTTCTTGATTTCAGGACATAGTATATAGATATATAGGATATAGTATAAATGAACCACTTAATTTCTTACTGCTCCACCTAAAGTGCTCTGAATCCTACGAGGTTCTTCGTTTATAAGCTTTATGATTTTGAACGTAAGTGCAGAGTTGTTTCCTGGCTCAGGTTTATAAAGATGCAGCACTTACCGACGAACTGAAAACAACTCGTTCAGTTAGAGGCATCACACAAATAGAGTAGCCATTTGTGTAATTACCTGTAAGGAGAGCACTTTTTATATAGCCGTTTGGACCTTTCAGATACATATTCTAGTTTCCTCTTTTGTAAGGCACTCATAACTGCTTGGTAACTAATGAACGTTAGCTGCCAGTCACTTAGGCTGAGATTCATCTTAGACAATTAGCTGTTAGGTGCACTGTAGTCACGTCCAAGCTAGTCATCTGAACTCCCTCTATTCTCAGTGTAGGGGAATAGTTACTTTGATAAGGGTTATGTCAGCTTTTGAGAGAAATCTAGAGAACTGGAAGGAGGTTTGGAAGAAGGCATTTGGCAGATAGGGGATTTTAAGTAACTAAAGGTCAGGACCGTCAGCTATCAGCTGTCACCACCTTTTGTCCTAGTCTTTGATCTGGTTTCAGTGCCTGGATAGACATAGTGACTGCATAATTGTAAATGAATCTGGTAGTTTTTTGTAGTTTGTTTGTTTGTGTGTGTGTTTGCTTAATTCTGATAAATATAATCTTAGTATTTCCCAACTAAATGCAGTCATATTGAGGATTTTCCTTTCCTTGTAAGTGCAATGTCTAAACAATTATTCTTGTTGTGCAGAACTTTCTACTCCTTCCTGAATTGGTTAAGGAGGAAACATTGCTCGTCTTTGTTAGCTTTTGTGCATTCTCATGAATGGGCATCATGTTTCCAGTAATTGTCTTGCTTTTCTTTGGAATATTTATCTTCCCTTTCTGTAATACCTTCTGTGTAGTTGCCTCCCAGTGCAATCCTGAATACTTTCCATGGCAAATACATCATATAATTTAAGCTCAGGCCATTTTTTCACTCTTCGATACCTGCTTTCCTTTTCATGTATCCATTTTACCTCATCGTTCAAGAGAGGAAGGTTTCAAGAACACCTGCTTTTGTTCATATTACTCTGGGTCTGTGAGGAACAACAATTGTCCATGGTCTGTTCTGAACTGATTTGAGAGTCATTCAGGACACTGTTCCTTCCCAGTATGTTGTCTTAGTGCATATTTTGACATAACACAAATTCTTTTCAAGGATGAAACCTTATGTGATAGGAGATGCTACCTGCGAAAAGTCTTGGCTGCAAGCCTCAAAGTCTTTAGCTTAGTTTGTTCCTATTTCACATACTGAGGAATAACAGCTAGCTTCTATCTAGGCAGTCATTTCTAAGATTCAGCTTTAAATGTGACTTTCCCTTTGCAAATTAGTGTATTTGCAACTTCATTCTTTTTTTGGTAGCATTTTATTTTTTTCTAATTTCCTTTTTTGACTTAATTGACTAACAGTTATGCCCCTTCTTATTTGTAGGCGTTACCCTTTGATTAGGAAATAACTATACACATAGTTTGCAACGTTCAAGAGAGTTTGGTGATGCCTTCATGAGGGCATCTAAATTGGAGTAAAGGAATGACTTTGTTATGGAGGAACCCTTTTCTCTATTTTCCACAGTGAAGGCAACAAAAGGTTCTGTCCTAGCTTCATGGCTGTCTCATATGCCTTTGAAAGTGTTATTTGCTCCAAGCTTTCTCCAGTCTTTTTCCTGTCTAAAGGAAATGTGTTTCTACCAAGTGCTATAATTTTCACATGGAACGGATTGGCAGTTCAGAACATACAATTAGATTACATATAACGTGATGGGATAGACAAAACTATGGCTGACCCAAGCCAGTGTTGGTGACAGTCCTGCTTCAAATGGGAAGTTGGACTAGAGGATGTCCAAAGGTCTTTTCCAACCAACACTTCTAGGATACTACAATAATGTATACAAGAGAGGCCCTTATGATTGGGAAGACAGTTTCATCATTCATTTTTCGTAGCTGATGAAACTGTTATTTTTTCCACAGTTGTAAAACAGCAACCCTGGATTTCATTGCATGTTACCTAGGTTTAGTATCTTGCTAAAATAACAGATTTGAGTCATGCTGCTTCATGTTCAGCTAAAACTATACCGTTCGCTATCTATCTTGTCTGATCTGTGCTTCAGATATTCCCACAGCATTGTATAAATCATGTACGGGCCTTTAAAAAAAAAAAAAAAAAAAAAGAGGTTACTTAACCACTAAATGTTGGCCTTTCAGAGTTGCCTCTGTTCATACTACCTGCCTGCTCTTACCTGTATTGTAGAATTCTGGGTGACATCAAGCTTCTGTGGTACGAGAGAGCAGTGCTTATATGAAGTTGTAGTCCCCTATATGGAGTAGGGCAATTGTAGAGCTTTCTCACACAAGGAATTACATATCTTCTCAGGAGCGTCCATTTTTCGAGACAGCACCAGCAGTGCCAAATCCTGCAAGTAGAAACACGGAGAGGCAACAATTGAACGACAGTTACTGATAATACTTCTCACCCCCCTGCTTCTGTTGTTCTTGGATGCTGAACAACGACGTTCCTTCTCATCTTGTACTTTCTTTTACATGAAATTCCTGCAGTTCCCACACCACCAGGTCTCATTCTCATGCAGAGAATGAAGCTACCAAGTGAAGTGAGGAATGTGCTGTGAGTTTCTTGATTTTGTTTTTTGTGTTGTTGTTCTGTGGCAAGTCTACCAGAATAGTTCTGTTTGGCAATATGGAATCACAATGGGCTGGTGACTACAAGTACAACCCCCCCCATATGTTTAACTGGAGAACCAGAAATTAGACAAGCGTATTTTTACACATCAGACTGTGGAAAGATTTTGATTTCAAAGTAGGAAAGGAAGCTAAGTATACCTTGTGTCAAAACTGCTTTTTCTACAATTTAAGATGCCTTATGGATGCCCCACTAAAGCTAGGATGTAACATCTTCTCTTTATATTGAGTTTGCCAGAATTTTGTTGCAAAAGCCTTGTGCTACTTAAAACAGTAGAAGAACCACCAGTAGTGTTAGGACAGGTGAAAGTGTGACTTAGACATTTTGAGCTGTTTCTTGAATTTTTTTTTTTTGTTCATGTAAATGAAGCAAAAATGTGTATGAGATATTAATTCTCTGGTCAGATTTCTTCTTGTACTGTTTTAAGCTAATTTCTTTTAATGAGCGTGTATTTGTTGTTCTCCAGCTGCACCACCTAGTGGTGACAAGGTTTTCTTTTAATTAAAAATAAATATTTTAATTTACAGATTTGCCTTAAACATAACTATAATTCGTTTCTTCATATTCTTGATATTCCTTTTGCTCTAAGTTCAGATTATATAGCTGTGCCTTAAGTTTTTATTTCCAGCAGGTCATTCTAGGTTAGATACTAAATAAAAAGCCTCCGCTTAGAGTATTCCAATCTTAACATGAATATAGTGTAATGTTTTTATGCAGATTTGATTTCAGTAATACTGTTTTGAAAATATTTTTGTAAAGTCTTATTAAAAGATCCCTATATCTTGTCTTTTTTAGCTCCTATGCTAAAGTAGTGAGAAGAGGTTTTTATATCAGTGACTCTCACTCAAAAATGTGCTGAACTCGTACCTTTTTTTCCCCCCTTTTCAGCCTCACTTCAGATCAGACTCTTACACGTCAGGGTCCCCATCCGTCTCTGTCTCTTCCTGAAAACTATCACACCTTGCCAAAGAACACCAGGCAGCCTTCAGGGAGTTCACCACCGCCACCAAACCGCAATTTGCCGAGTGACTACAAATACGCCCAAGACCGCGTTAGCCACTTGAAGATGTCACAGGAGGAAAGAAAAGCAAATAAGGATGGAACTGTTTGGCAGCTGTATGAGTGGCAACAGAGACAGCAATTTAAACATGGCAGCCCCACTGCCCCACTTTATGTAGGCTTTTCAGACTTTGTTGATCGTGGAAAGTCAAAAAGTTCATTGGATGTTCCACGATCAATATCTGTTCCACCATCTCCATCTGATATTCCTCCGCCTGGACCCCCAAAAAGCTTTCCTCTAAGGAGACCACACACTCCTGCAGAGAGGCTCACAGTTAAACCATCGGACGAGAGACAAACCGTAGAAATTCCTTTTGCTGGATCACCCAGGAAGATTCGAAATCAAGCTATAAAGGTTTGTATAGAGTATGACAGTAATTACAAACTATTTTGTAAGTACTGTCATACATCAGTTACTTAATTTAGTCATTTTCACTGCATCCTTCCTTGTGTATGAAAGATCCTGGAGGTTTTAAAAGTTAATACAATCAGTTCTTCTTAAAACTTGAATCTTTCTGATCATTGCAGATTTATTTATTTCTGTTGGTTTAGAAAGGAAGATTGGTGGCAGATGATACTGATTTGGAATGTTTTTATTCTAAAATTGTGGAAGGGTATATATACAAATAAAAACATAGAAATTAAAGTTTCTAAGATTTTAATGTATAGCGCACATAGTCATACGGTGGATAGACAAGAATATAAAATGCAGCAGGATGAATTCTTCCTTGTTTCTTTACTGAGGGCAGTGGTATTAGGTGCTTGCTCTATTCACTTTCTCTACACCTTTTGCTAGTATAGTTGGTGTTACAGCTGATGCAGTTGTTAGTTATTGTCCACTGGCTAAAAGCATAAAAATTTTTCGTTCCTGTGGCAGTTCAAGCAAGATCCCTCCCTTTGCAGCGTCGTTAGCACTGGACTAGCCAACACCAAATAGCGCGAGTCTGAACCGTTAACCTTCTGCAACATTTCAGTGGGGTTTATTATAGGCACTGTTGTACCTTCTTATTCAGAGATGATAGAGGTTTCCCCCACTCAGTACTCCACATGGCTCTCCTTGCCTAAGGAAATGAGGGAAACTCAGGACTGAATCAATGCAGAACGTGCTTCTCTTGGTAGCTCTTACACTGGAATAACTAGAAATGAAAGCCCCTTTATTCACCTCAACCATGGGCTCTGCTGGGAGAAAGCATTTGTAAAGAAAGAGTTTTGTAAATTCACAGATCCAACGCAGATTCGGGAACAGGAATTTAGGTTGCATGTCAGCTTCATGTACACTTGACATTTCTCCTGATATGTATGCTGTGTAGCCCCTCCGCAGACTTTTCCTTCAGGTTAGTTGTTGGACATCTTTCAGCATTTATAGATATATATTGTATCAAAGGATGAAATATCTAGTGATATTCAGCACTGGAAACTCTTTATTATTATTTAATTATTTAAAATAAATATACAATAAATAATAAAAAAGTCACTCCTAGTTATGTTACAAAAGATGTTGGTTTCTCCATGTGCAGCTTGAAGGAGCGTTACTTCCCCTGTAAAGGGATGTACAGCCGTTTTTTCCCTTCCTTAGGGGAAGGCTAATGTAGCTGCATAAACGTAGCTTCATAAATTTTTTCTAAATACTGCTAATGTAGCTGCATAAATTTTACTCATAAAATTATTTTTATGTCACATTGATGTTACCAATATGTGGGGGAAAAAAAATCAATTTTCCTAAAATTTCCAGAGGAAAAATATTCATGTTTTTATATGTAAACACAGAGCATCATTATACATTTAGCTGTATAAATCACAGAAATCTGTGATACTCCCTCTTCCCTGGAATGCTTTATTTCAATTCCATCCAGTTACACTTTAAAAAAAAAAAGAAAAAAGAAAAAAAGGCATGCGAGGGAACAAAGCAGCATTCAGTGCAAATGTGAGACAGTCTGTCTTGAAGACAGCAATAAAAGTTTGGCATTAAGGGAAATGTGAAACTTGAAAGAATATATATGAAATAGGGTTTCATTATAAGCAGAAAGGGACAGATCAAATATGATTATTTAATAAAACCTAGCGTTAACTGGATTCGTTGCTACAAGGTGTCACTCACGTCAGTAGCTTAATAGCGGTGAACTGTTCCACGACTAAAAGAGGGCATTCATACTTCTTAGTGTAGTGTAAACCTTCTGTTTACCGGCATAAACCAGCCAGCCTTTCTCTGGGAGACATTGGGGGGGGGGGAACCCCAAACTCTTTATGAATATTTTTTACCTACTGGAAACTGCTTTGCACATTCTTCTGAAGCGCCTTGTGTTGCCAGAATCCGTTGATCTGTCCAGCTTGGCAGTTCTTAAATTTGCATGTATTCGTTTATACATTTTACTTGATCATTGATGTATCTGCCTGGCTCATGAAGGTAGTCCTCATCTAAGCATGCCTGGAATTCAGATAGAAAACTTGTGGCAGAGATGCATCTCCTGAATTTTCCCTCCAGTAAAACACACCTCTCGCTCTCGAGACAATCCTCACAATTCTGGCTGTGGCTTCTTACAGAGCTCAACCCACGCTGATCGACGCTCTATGCCAGCTATGGGCTACATGACCCATACTGTAAGCGCACCCAGTTTGCATGGCAAGTCGGTAAGTTGAAAGATTGATTTCTTTGCCTTTTCTGTCATTATTAGTATTGGGGCTAAGACTTCAAATCCTGCTCGTGCCTTAGTTGTTGTATTTTTCTTTATTAGTTAAAATCGAAACAACTTGAATGTGAAACAGTCTTATCCAGCTCCCAGTAGAGTCTGTAGGAGTTTTGTTGTCACCTGCAGTGTGAACAGGAGTGAGCTGTTTGTAGACTTCCGTAGTTTATTAAAAGACTCAACTTTGTATTGTGTTTATTTGACCGAATGCAGAGTTAATGAAATAATTGCTTAATCATGTCAAGTAATTGCTTTCTGGGCACTGAGGTGAAAAATGTAATTACAGTTACTCTCCCTGAAGACTGCTAATTTCCTCTTTGCAATGTGTCTAAATACCTGCAGCCTGAAGAGCTAACATTGCTTCTCATTCGATTAAGGAGACATCAGGCTAAGTTGGCTAGTATACGAAATTACACAATTGCACAATTACTGCAGCACTTGCCAACTAACTCCACCTATCAGGTCAGCTGCTGCTTGGTCATCTGTGCCGTATGACATTTTGTGACTCTGCAGATGCTTCATCAGTGGCATGCTTGAGTCTGTGCTTTCTTACCCATTCTTTGGTATTCTACAATTCCCAGATTGTTTATGATTTTTCTTTGCTATTATATTTGCTATAAAAAATAAGCTATAGGGCACCAGTGCATATGTTTCAGTGTTATATTTTTCCTTTTTATACTGTTTGTGAAAATGCTGCATCTTCAGAAAAGTGGGTTAAATAAATTGCAGATATGTTCATTCTAAAGCAAAAGCATTTCTCTGTGCTGCTTTCATGATGGAATTGGCTCCCTTTACCACATGCTGTGTCAGCTGCAAACTCAAATGCATCAGCCACTTTGTACGTTCATATGAGCTTCTAACTGTGTCAGTTCTGCAGGTGAACGTCAGTTCATAAAAGCTCATGGACATCTTAAATCATGAAATCATTAGCAGTACTCTTGATTGCACTGATGTAGGAGGCTTGTTAAGTGTAAGAAGAAACAGAAAAGTAGCTGTAGAGCTGTTTGATTTGTATTAGATCCTCAAAAATTGAGCCATCTAGGAATAAAATGTGATTCTTCTTGGAATTGATGAAGGCTTTATATTGGCCTAATATTCAAGGGTGTTTTTTTTTTTTTAAATAAGAATTTAAATTCCCTGTTTACCTTACCTATAGAACAATTGCACTAAACTGGGTTATAGTAGTAGAGATTTTTCCATAAAAATGGGCATATTTCCTAGTCAAGTCCTCTGCCAGTCTTACAGGGTCACTGGATGAGAATCATAAGTGAACACCTCTAAAGAAATGCAAGTGTAATGTATTGCTTTTAAGTCACATGTGGTTTTTCTTTTCTTTTTTGAATACACATTGGCTCAAAACTTGAGAAAGGTATAGTTGTGTTTTTCTCTTATTCTGCTGTTTAATAAACCCAGGATATAAAATTAGGACAAAATAGCAGCAAAGATTCTAGGTGCTTTGGCTAATAACAAAGCACACTTGCAACAGTTAAGTTTTATTTTGTTGCTTAATACAAAATACATCTTTTGAAAAAGAAGAAGAAATAACTTCATTATGACTGCCAAGCATGCTTTTCTTCAAGTGACTGTAATGAAGATCTTGCTAGCTGAATGTAGGTTAGGCCAATAGTAGTTATTGAGACAGTGAAAAATCGGGATCAGGTTGAATGTTATCACTTAAAAAGCCAAAACTGATTGTCCAATTGTATACGTGAGATTTTATTCAGTATTTTACTCATGAAGTCTGTCTTAGATCCCTTAAATAAAGGAATGCATACTGTAAAATGTGTAGGAAATCTGATCAAAAGTGTTCTTATGAGTTATTATAAAGTAGATTCTTTTCACATCTGACATTCAGTTAGGTAAAAGTCTTCCCCCACAGAGGGGTGTTGTGCTGGATAACAACTCCGTAACTTTTTCAGTGAACAGATGGTAAATAGTGGTCTTGAAAAAATAACTTTTTGTGTCTACATAAATTGTTTTTGGTAGTTATGTATCTCATTAGAGGTGCAAAACTCAAATCTATATGTTTAGGGGGTGGGCATGAGGTAGTAAAGTTCTCAGGAAATGTTTTGCCCATTTTTCCGCTGTAAATAGCAGTATGCTGGTGAAGCAAATGTGCTTTTTATGTACTTCCTATTCTGTTAGTTTGTTTCCTCTTTCACCCTTTTTCTTTTGTATAGCCAATACAAATATTTTGAAATTATTTTTCAAACATTCAAATGTATTGCACTGTTTTTCCTATGTCCTTATGTGAAGGCTGATGACACTTACATCCAGTTGAAAAAGGATTTGGAGTATCTGGATCTAAAGGTAAGGCATATTTATTAGAATCTACTTCCGTTATTTTTTAACCCATCAGTCTTGTGTGTGTCATCTTTGTACCTCCAGGTTTTCAAATCTCTTTCTGTTCAGAAACTGAAAGTTTGTCTTTTGCCGTTGCTGCTGTGCTTAGAATATTGATTATCTTTATAGTTTTGTCTATACAATTAACATGTAAACTCAGAAAATATAGTTGCTTCTGTTATTAGGTAGAACTTATGTTACTGGTACTCACAATGAGTGATATTATGTGGGTTTAGAGAACTCAGGAGAAAAAAAAAAACTGATTCAAAATATTTGTCTGCAGTAGTATGAGAACCAATATGAAATCAATGCCCTTACGTTACAATAGTGCATTTTTAAAGCCAACTTTTTCCCTTTAAATCTAGTTAGAGCTGACTTTTTTCCTTTTTTTGTAATCTTCTGTATTTATTATATCATGCTGCTTTTGTGACACTGTATTGATTAATTTGCACCTTTCATTTGTTTCCATATTATTTTGGCCAAGAGTTTTCAAACCCTTCCTTCCTTCTGTCCTTTCATATATCTAGGCAGAGATATAATCTGCCAATATCATGTTACCTGTACTCAGGATATTTCCTGAAACAATATGATACCAAGCATCAAACTGTATGTCTAAGCCAAGTTACTTCTGCATGTGGTATACCTGATAGTAGGCAATTTGAAAGCAAATCCAGACGTTAATACCAGATTTTGGTGAGAGGGAACCCACTACCTAATCATTTAGCTTAGCACCGCGGTCTACCACTGTCTCTGATGCGTAGCATGTCTCACCATACAAACAATTATATGATATCTCTGAAAATCAAGGTGGAGTGAAATGTGACACCTCATTGACCTTCTCGTTTGGAAGTTTGTAGTGCTCACTGATGCCAAGGGGCATTGCCTCTGTGCAACTAATGAGCTGACTGGACCCACTGATATGCGAATTTTGGTTACATGTGATGTTTTAATGGCTGAATATATAATCAAATCTATCAGATATAAAATATTAGTAATACCTATTACACATTACAGTATAGTGTTATATGTATAATGTGTTGCAAAATATGCATAGTATGACTAATGTATACAATCAAATACATAAACAATTGTACTCACTAGTATAGCAATTCAGAATCGGTTGGAAACATTTCACTTCAGGCCTTGTTCTTGGTTGTTTGCAGCTTTGCCAAATTTAACCACGTTCCAAGTCTTAGTCTGAATTATATGGCAAATTTCTACCAAAAAGGTTCTGCAGTTTAAGATGGACATTATGAATAAATGCAGTGTCTTATCTGTTCTAAAGCATGCTTAAAACAGCTCTACTGCTGAATTTGAACAATTTCCAATGTTAAAAGTTTGGCCACATTATAAACTTCTGAAAATGCTATGTGCTTAATGGAATTAGTAGGATGGGTGGTTAAATTTTGAGGACATTTGATCTGCGTTGATTTGGTGCAGTCCAGGGCACTAAGAGCTGCGTGGTTCCCCCCGGACCTCCGCGAGTGCCTTCCTGCAGCCTGCGTGGAGGCTGACAGAAGCGGCCAGGAGAACTGGATGGAGGCACAGGCAGCAGCTGGTCTTTCTGTGGAAAGCAATTTACCTCTTACGCAGTTCTGACTGTTCTGGGAAATAGAGCTTAGAGAACGTTTATTGTAAGTAGAGTTGTTTCAAGGAAACGCTTGAGGATAGTTTCAGTTACCTTTTGGAAAATCTTGACAAATCAAAATGTCAGGTTGGTTTCTGTAAGAATGGCCTAATTTTTTAAAATTGGCATTTCTTTCCCAGTTAAATATCTTCAAGCTTAAAAGAACAATGCTCTTTCAGCGATGGTCAGAAAATGTAAAATTTCAGGTCAGGTTGTTCAGCAATTAAAGAAGAGACCGTGTGAAATTTGAGTAGGTGTCTTTGTACTGTTAAAATTTTATGTTGCTGCTAACTCTGAATTACTGAAGAGATGCTTTGTTTTGGGATATGAGGAAGAAAGAATAGCCTGTTGGATGAAACAAAGCAAATTTCATGTTGATTTGGTAAAGATAGAATATGATAAATTCACATTTAATATGCATCATACCTTTCATTAAAACACTAAAGACTAGGTATAAATCCTTTTAATTGAAGTCTCTTTTTGACTTCATTGGAATTGGGTTAGGCCCACTTTGATTAAACAGTTTCAAATAGGACTGAAGATTTTAAGACTGAAGCTAAACATTTCTTTTCCTTTCATCCGTTATCTGTGAAGATATTTCTTCCTAGACCTTTTGAAACGTCTTATGATGACTTTTCAACATGATATAGTGATTAAACATTTGGTTAACCTCGTAATACATGCGATAGCATTAAAACTGATTATAATAACTTGATTGCACAAGATTTAATAATTTCTCATAATTCAAGTGTTTCTGTCTCCAAAGAAAGCTCGCTGTTATCCTACTATACTATTCTATCTTTGATTACTGAAAAAGTCTTAAAATATGATCTAAGTAATTCCTGATGTTAATATAAAGATGGTATCGTTCAACATAATAGTGTATTGACATAATATAAATGAAATAAAAATGCTTTAGAGGTATTAATCTATCATAGTATTTTTCTCCTGCGTGCAAGCTGATTCTGAGATTTAAAAAAAAAAAATAGGCTAGAAGCTTTTAAATCACATTACGAGGAAACTTGCACTTTCTCTAATTTTGAACTTGTGAAAGGAAGGGCGGTGTAGCTGTATGCTATGGCATGCCAATGACTCCTCCACAAAGAGCTGTGCAGTTGTGTGTCATGGCTAAAGCAGAGCGAAAGGTATGACCTAATATTAAAAAAGCAGAAAGGGGAGAGCAAAGGAGAAAAAAAGATTTGCTTTTCTGTTCTCCCCCCCAGCTTCAAGGGTGACAGTGCAAACAATAAAGGTGAAGCGGAAATGAAGGAAGTTTCCCTTTTCTTGACTAAGAAATGAGGTGTAAGCAGGCTGCAGGAGGGGTGGGTGGGTAATTTTACTTCAGAACAGTTTACAAAATTCCCAGGTGGGTTATGCTGAGCAGGCAAGAGGAAGGCCAGCTGCGGTTGGACGAGTATCTGAGCAAATTGGATTTTGTGTTGTGTGTTTGTGTGTTCTGCGAAAGTAAACTTGAAAATTCTCGTGGCTGGATGATCAGCCTACCCAAAATATAACCAGAAGGGAAGACAGCCGATAATAGCTTCCCTAATGAGAGGTTATATAGATTATAAGCTTTGAGGATCATTGTGAAAGAAAACTGAGTGATTGCTGTTGCTCATGCAGTTTTGAGTTTGAAGATTTTGGTTTTTGGAACTATATAATAAGCTATTACTAAACTTCTGTTTGAAACAGATAGAAAATAATGGACCTCTGATCAACATGATTTACAAAGTGCTAAAGAACTCAGCACAAGGGTTACTATCCAGTATACATGTAAGACGGCTTGCATCTCAAATGCGCTCTCATCCCATTGCTTTTTCAAATAGCGGTTGATGTTTACGTGTTCTGGCTTTTATGGGTGTCTTATGACATGTAGAAGAGCTTTCTGTAACTTTTTTTTTTTTTTTTGAGTCTGTATGCAAAACTATGGCTGACTTCAGTGTTTGGTTTCGTTTTTTCTTTTTTCTTTTTAATGGTTATATAGTGACTTCTATGCATAATTTGGAAAATATGAAAGCATGCTAAATCTTACATTATGTTCTCATGTTCACTGCTTGAAAATGAACAACTTCTTTACAGTTGTGATTATGTAACTTGAAATATGCCACAAAATACGTCGACTGTGTTCTCACGTTAATTCCGTTGCTTTGAAAAAGTTTTTTCCATTCCATTAGCTTGCAGGTAATTAAATAGGCAAATTTTTGATTTGGGCATGCTAATATTTATGCTTATATTATTTCTTACTGTTATACATGTAATTTAGTTTTTAAAAATTATTCCATTAATAGTTTTAAAATAAAGCTTTTTTAAAAAAATACTGAATTATTGAAGTTGAAAATATTTGAAAATCAAAGAAAATTACTTTGGAGAGGCAGTAAATGCTATTGTATTTGGTGGTAGGAAGTAACAAATGTTATGACTAACTACATGAAATCACATAATAAATATATGAATGGAGTCTGCAGATGGAGGAGAGAGACGTTAAACATAAACAGAATTTACTCTTTTGTTATACCTAGTTTATTATTTGAAAATGCTGTATGAAAATGACTAACTTCATATAAAATACTAAACAAGAAACTGAAGATGTAGTAAAGATTCAACTACTCTCACAGTAAAATTTAATGATTTTAAGAGAACTGTAGTATGATCCTGTAGGATCCTGTCAGGTTAGTAAGTAGACCATATAGCTGTAGTGACCTCAAAGTCTGTAGATTGCCAGTCAGCCAAAAAGCAGACTACCCCTTCTCCTCCCAAAAGGAAAAAAAAAACCTTCTGCTTCTATATTATGAAGAACAATATTTAGGTGGACTTTATCCTTTATAAACTATTGCATGTATATGGATAAAATTAGACAGTATATTGGTACTACTGATTTTCCCCTTTTGTTTCTTTGCTTTAATGAATCTTTAAAAGTATTCTAATAATATTAAATCATTTGATTTTTAAGGCTTTTAAAAACTGAATGATTAATGAGCAATATTATATTGATAGTTCTGTTCATCTTATTTATTCAGAGAAAGGGTCAAATGTAGACAGTGGGAGTAATAAGCGTTTCTACATAGATAAATATGCTTTCATGTGAAGATTGCTGTGAAGGCTGGAAGTTTAATATAGTTTCTTTACTAATTTGAAAACTGGATTATGTGATAAGATTATCTTCTTGCCAGAAATTGAATGTGGAACCAGTGATTACTGGAATGAGACGTTAGGTATGCTAGAAAAGAGAATTATCCGTCAAAATGGATTAATGACATTTAAATTCCAATATAGCACTCCTGCAGCAGTCTATCTTTCAGTAAAATTCACTGTGGACTATGGAAGAGACTATCCTTTGGAGAATGAAAGTGTTGCTAAAAATGTGCATTTTAGTCCTTACAGGTGTTAGGCCTGCAAGCACATATTTAAAGAAACTAATCAGCTCCTTTGACTAAGAGAAATTTTAAAGCCAATCTGTTTAAAAGTGTTAGATTTTGCAGGGTAAGGACCTCTGTGACCATAGACAAATGGGTTTATGCTATTTTGTCCAGTTTTAAGCTATTGCAAGAGTTATTACATAGCCTAATATAACTAGCAGTCCTTTCTGATAACATTTTTGAACTCTGAAAGCGTATTTGAAAAGACTTGTGTCCAGAATTTTATTTTATCTTTTATTCATCTTGGTAGATGTCCTTGAATATTTAACAATTTTTTTCTTTATTGTTGAAGCATAATTAGGTTTTACTTTGCTACCAGTTTCTCAGGTCTATAAAACCTATTTGTCGTAGGTGACGGGACGTGAGACGTTGAAAGAACGAAGTACAAAACCTGTCAAGATCGCAGAAAGCGATATTGATGTAAGTATCAAATACCGCTCTAGAACCTCTTGCATTTCTTTGTCTATTTATACTGCACTGTAAATGTTCATTTATTATGCTTTTGGGGGCAAAGCATTGCTAGTGGAGACTTTTTTTTTTTCCTTCTTATTTAAAATCTAACATACATTATATCATTTCATTTTTAGGTCAAGTTAAGTGTTTTCTGTGAGCAGGACAGAATTCTGCAGGACTTGGAAGACAAAATAAGAGCCCTGAAGGAAAATAAAGTAAATAGATTTAAAAGTTTTCTATAAAATAATAACTTTCCTATAACCATAAAATATGGAATTATAAAAAAAAGTTACTGTATGCTGCTTGCATTATAATTATTTTCTTTGGACATGTATGTAAACTTATATAAGGAAAAGAAAATTGTTTTGTAGGTTAAGATGGAGTATCTGCTTTCAGAAAGCATGACTTTGAAAATGAACGTCTTGAAACCACATGTACTTATTTGTTCTGATGTTTATGACTAATGGAAATTATACACATTTCTGTATAGTTTGCCTTACGTCACGATATGCGTATTGCGGGAGGCAGAGTCGTGTTTCAACTGCAGTTCTTCCCAGCTGGGCAAACATCGTGTGTGTAAATAGCAGTATTTTAAGATACATGCTTGGAAGGCCCATATTGGGCTCTCGCTGTAGCCTGTGTAATTGTACTATTAAATCAAAGGAGGGGGAGAGGAGGATGCTCACGTTTGTAGTATTTTCAGTGATCTGTGGTGATTTATAGCACTGCAAACTTGGTTCCAGAGGTTGTAACTGCAATGTTGAAATACCTTCTGTGATGAATTTGTAGTTGGAACTGGTCTTTCTTGCCCAAGCAGGTCAAAGTTCAAATAGTAAACATTAATAAAAGGTTTGTCTTTCCTTCTGGTACCTTGCATCTTGATATGCTTTACTGCCTATGAGCTCTGTCTGTCAGAAAATCTAAATTTACTCAAGGTGGCTCAGAAGAAAATCCGTTCTAAAATGAAAATACTGCCTAGTTATCTTTTTCAGAAAAGCTACTGAGGAGAAATGATTCACGGTTGTTTGGTGCTGATTAAATGAATCAGGCCTACTTATTGTTTTAGATAATATTTTAATCCCTCCCTTGGCTAATTTAACTACTGCCGTGAATGAGAATTTTTCCTTAAATAAACTATTATACTGTGCTGTGGTAAGGTTATCCCATTTCTGTACTGCTTAAGGGGATTTTTCTGAAACTCTTTCAGTTTTTCGTTTCCATTTTAGTCTCCGCGATAGGAGGCCAATCCTAATGTAGTAGCTTAGAGGAAAGGCTGGAGAGGTAGAAAATAGCTTTTATATTCCCACAGATAAATCAGTAACATTTCATGTAAATGTTATAAGCTTACTGCTGTCTTCTCTTTTAGGATCAGCTGGAGTCTGTTTTGGAGGTTTTACACAGGCAGATGGAACAGTACAGAGACCAACCACAACATGCAGAAAAGATTTCTTACCAGCAGAGACTTTTGCAAGAGGATCTCATACATATTCGGGCTGAAATATCCAAAGTTTCAACTGTATGTATTTTGATTCTTTCAAGAAAACCATAATTAAAATGCCAGCTAGAGTAAAACTGAGCTTTTCTTTTTTGAATAGAGAAATGTTTGAGCTAATTTGATTAATGTGAGATATTAAAACAAAAAAGTCTAAACAAACAAAAATCTTTCCTGCTTTCCTCTTCAACACCCTGACCCTTCGCCCCTCCTCCCCCCCGCCCCGAAAACCAAACTTTTTTGTAGCTTTATCATTTAAGTATGGCCTTAGATTACAAATCTTTTGACTAGTCCCTTTGGCGGTACAAATATAAACAAGATTCCATGGTATTTTGCACCATGGAGAAAATGTTAATTACGTTTGGGGAATTATGTTAACATTTCAATCAAAATTCACCATATTTAATACAATTAAAATGTAATTTAGCGTTTCATTTTTGTTAATAGAAATATTGGTATAAAGTGGCCACAGAAGAGGACATCTTCAGCCTGGGTGCTGTGTACTCACTACATTATTGCTATCTCTTAATGTATATGGGACCAACTCTTTATGAAACTGTTTCTAGAATTGTGTGAACACCTTTTCTATAGTTAAATCTGATCATTAAAGTGCCAGTGTTGTTTAAATATGTGTGTACAGTGTTTTGTGTCTGAAGAAGATGAATGACATTCACAGGCAATGTTTACATATTTAATTGGGGGCATAAATAGCACTGTACTGGTCCAGTGCAAGGCTCCTCCTAGTCTAGGGTTCTGTCTTTGACAGTGGGCATAAGCAGTTGCTTAGGGAAGAGTACGGATAGGAAACATGTATGGGGTATTTCTTGTGATAACAATCCCAGCTCCCAACTACTGTCTACTTGGAGAACTCCTTGTCTATTTAGTAAGCCTAAGTACATCTTGTTTCCAAAATACTCATCCTATTAAACTTTGTAAACTTTTTATAATCCAAAACACCCTTTGACAAGGCATTGATTGCATGGATCTATTCTCTGTTGTGCGAACAGCCGTTCTAAGCCTGGCTCATACCCGCTTCACGGGATAGAACCTTATTTTTGTGTGGGAAAGGACAGGGAACAGTTAGTCTTTACCCATCCTCTCTGTGCCATTTGTGGTTTCATAGACCTCCATTATTTCTTCCTCCCATCTCCCACGTTCTCTCTCTTCCACGCTCTAGAGAAAAAGCATGCTCCATTATTCCTTACACAGAAACTGCTCCAGACTTCTGATTGTTCTCAGTTCTGGGTCAGAAAGCAGACTGTGCTGCTGCAGATGTTGGAAATAATCTAAGTAATATAAGCATGATTGGATAGCCTTGTTCTCCGGGTGTCTGCTTTTTTATTCACTTCTAATGAAGTTGCATCTCAGTCTGTAGAACTTTTAAAAGATAACCTACTGTGTTTCCTAATATGTATTCTGGTTTAGGTGGCTGTTTGGATTCTAATTATAATCTTATTTTAAATAGAGAAGTAAGGTAAATGGAAATAGAACTGGAATAGATTTGCTTCCTTCACAGCGTATTATGATCTTAGTTTAGGTTCTGCTGAACTCCAGTTTTATGCTTAAGAAATGATTCTGTGTGAGCAAGGTGGCCAGAAGTCCTTAACCAGGGATTCTGGATTCGATCTTGCAAGCGGTAAAGTGTTTTGATGTTTATGATCAAGTCTGAACAGAAATATGGTCACGTAGCTAGACTTCAAAACAGATTTCTCTTTCTTTCTGTAATGGAACAACATCATCTTAAAAACACCTTTAGGTGCTCCGTTGAGAAAAGCGGTAGGGCGATTTCCAGGTGTGTCATAATATTATGTTAAAGTATTCCCTTTGTTAATAGGAAATGGAAATTGCCTGGAATGAATATCTGAAATTAGAAAAGGATGTGAACCAGCTGAAGCGAGCCTTACAGGAGCAGATGAACAGTTCACTTGTATCTCAGGTGAGTCTGTTTCCAGACACTGGATTACTTATGTGAAGATTTTGTATGAACTTGAGAGCTGTGATGTCATAAGAGAAATCCTCTGCAATTTCTGCACTGTGTTCAGCCATCACATAGCTTAGTTTGCAAAGTTCAGAAGTTCTTACAGCATAGCTATGCAGTAACTAGCTGTCTTCCAGCACGTGTAATAGTTTCTCATAAGCTGTCTGTGTAAATTTGTCATTATTTCATTGTACAAGTTTTTATTACATGCTGACATCTTGACATTGATAACGTATTTAATACATAAGACTATGCATTTATTTGATCTGACATTGACTTCTTTATTGATTTTTAAGAATATCAGTCACTAGCTTGTTACTGTCATTACTTGGTCTTTGTCATGTTCTTCTATTTATGGAGGATTTATCTCTGCAGATTATTTTGTGAAGCGGAGTAAGTGTTTAACAGCTATCAGTAATTGAAAGGCATCTGAGTTTTAAATCAAATATTCAGTCTGGAATCTTACAAGAAGCTTTATTTGAAGCTAAGCTACTCTGTTTGCTGAACTGAATGTGGCATACCAGATTATTTCTATATACCTTTTTACAGCTAATGATTTTCACTTAGAGCAAGGAATACAGTCCGTATTATTTTACCTGTGTCTAAGCAGAACAGTCTTATTTAAAAGAGAAACACAAGGAACAGATCCAACGTATATAATTTGCTTATATCGCAGCCTACTTTTTCAAATGTCTCAGACCAAAAAAGCCCACTAGTTAAATTTTTAAATTTAGATATTTGTTCCAAACTTCTGATCGGATATGAATTTGTCTTTGCTATTAATGCATAAGGTTCTTGAATCAAAATAAGAGTTACAAAACCTTTTTAGATTGCCTTGATCTTCAAACTCAATTTTTGGTTAATCCCTTTTTGCTTTTTTTGTAATAGTTTCTAGAGCCGGAATATTGTTTAATTGAGTTCAGCTGTAGAATACACCTCTCAAAAACAGACCCCAGAGTTATTTTAGAATAAGATTGTCCACGTACAAAGTTAACTTGATTAAAAAAGGCAAATTACAGGTTTAGCTAGAATATACTTTAACAGAATTTTCCGTTGTGCCTTGAGCATACTTAAAGTACTGGATGTGCAGCATGTGATTTAGCAGTGCATTACACTGCTTTGTCTAGAAAGGAAGAAACAGTTTCCACAGAAAACGTGTTAGGTCAGTTTCATTGTCTTCTCATGTCACGTACGTACGTATGTGTGTATGTACACATGCGTACATGCACAAAGAACATACACTACGTGTACATTTTATATATATATATATATGCATTCAGACATATATCTGTATTTGGTGAAGATTTTTAAAAATGTTTCTGAACACCTGTTTTGGACATATTAGAGGGGGCTGACTTCTTGAAAAAGTACTGAATAGTCTTAAGATTATATTCCCTCAAAGACGTCTCATTTTATGTACCCATAATCATTAACGTCTTTCATTCTCTTCCTAAAGGTGTGTAGGCTGTTTATCTAGTGTTTTGCAATGGCGTTAAATCAATGCACTCTATATTTAAAAAATGCAGTCTTCATGGAACATTGCTAAATGCAGGGTCAAGTCGCTGTAGGAAACAGTGAATACTGTTTCTGTTTAGCATTAATGAAGAGGTTAAAAACTCAAGGTTTCAAGCAGCTCGGTCAAAGTAAATCTTGGTTTTAAGAGTGTAGATTCATTGCCTTTTGCTTAAAGGTTGGGGGGGAGGCTGGGCGTACTGAAATTGGTTGAGATGTGGTAGCTTGGTGGTGGCTTCTCAATTGGTAAGTACTTCTCCTCTCGTTTTATAAATCATTCTAAATTATATTTCTGTGTGAAGGAAGTTAGAGAAATTGACTTATCTCTCCAAGCTAACTTTTTATGCTTTCCTATAAAGCATATTGACACCCCTTGGTAAACAGCAATATATTGGGCTTTCACAATTTAAAAATAAATTCAGCAGCTTATCTTTAAGATCTAATCCGTTTTTGTTCCAAAATACTCTCTTTGCATCAAGATTTAGGTAATAGGAAGAAATAATGTTAAAATATCTCATGGTTTTGGAACGCTACCGACAGACCTTTTCTGAGTGGGTTCAGAAGGATGGTTTTTCTGGACATGTGGTGCTTTTTTCCCCCCCTCCCCCTTAAACTAATTCTGAGACTTGATTGTTATAAATCCATCATTGAGTACCTTGTAGTATGATCAGTCTGAGAAAATTGAAATGAAATGTGCAGATATATACAGTCTTTCAAGATATGTTGCTTCTTTCGAGCAAGTTTACTACAGGCAAATAACATTGTCCATCATTTAAATGTTTGTATTCCTGGCACCCTGTTTTCTGATCTATAGCCTGGCTGTACATATTTTCTGGACTAAGACAGAAAGTGGAAAGTTACTTATATGCCTTCTCTAGCTCTATGAGGTGTAAGAGCTTATACTAAAGTTTTTCTGTTTCAGGCTTGTAGGATTAATTAGCAGTTATTTTGCAGCTTATGGCAAATGGTGGATTTCTAGAGTTCTTGAGGAGTTTGTAAGCAGTTCTTAACTGAAATGTTTCACTGCCTTCCGCTTTCTTTTGTAAAACCATGAGGAAGAAAAAAACTTGATCGGTTTATTCTTAATGCCAGCTTTTGAAGAAAGACTTGTCATACATTGATTCCTAAAAACTAATGGATTGCCATAAAGTAACAAGAATAATCCCAAACTGGGGCGGGGGGAAATGAGAGAAGTTGTTTATGAAGATTGCAATAAACTTCTGATTGAAGTGGTAGCTTCAATAGCCAAGGCCTCTAGATGCACAATACAATCAAAGGCAGAGTCCAGGTTGTAGATAAAGCTTCCCTTTCTTTGCTCCCAGAGAAAATCAGTAGAGCAAATAGGAGAAAAGATGAGACCAAATTCTGGAATAGCAGTAATATGTTATTTCAGCCTATGATGATGCATTGTAGCCTGGAATCCAGTAGGCCTAACAAGCAAAGTACAAGCAGAAACTAAAGAAAATAAAGTTGTCATTCCTTCTGAGAATTAGTTTTGGTCTTACATTTCATCCATTAAAAGCCATTTGGCAATTCATAGCATTATTAGGGGGACTATACTAATAAATAAATATACACACGCACATATGTATATATGTATTTTTAATACGAGGCATTTTCCCCAGATTATAAGGAGAACTTTGGTAAGGCTGCCATAGCAGTCTTAAGTATATTAGTGTAAGATTTAAGAACAAAGTTCATATAAAATGAGCTTATAGACCCTTGTTAGTTTGGAGTATTAAACTAGGCTTTGGTTGTAGCCGGAGTAATATTGTAGAGAACAATGTAGAGGTCTCTACTATTTCTTCTAGTCTTTTGTAGGAGGTTTGGACCTGTGTGCAGGACCTGTTGATCTGTGTATTCTTTTTAAATGGAGATAATGATTTAACCCATTTCTAGACTCCTAAGTTTTCATGTAAGTTCTGAAATGTTAGTTTGGTAGTGGTATCAGAAGAAGGGTAAGCCCATAACTAATTAAAATGGGATAGAATTTATTTATTTTTCTTTCTTTTTACCCCAATATCAGGAGAAAACACAAATACAAAAAGACTTATGGAGAATTGAAGATGTTACAGCTGGCTTGAGTGCAAGTAAAACTAACTACAAAACCATAGTAGAATCAATCAAGAATCCAGGTAAGAAAAACATAATTAAAACATAAAAATATACAAATATAGCTGAATCTTTGGGTCTGTGTAAATAGCCTAGAAGTCCTAATACTATATTCTACTGCAAAAAATCCGGTTAATTCTGCTGCTGATTGTATCAGAAATCCCTATAGCTTGAGCACATTCCCTTGGAGTTTCTGTGGTTGGTTTTCAGGTGGTGAAATGATTTTTTTGTTGTTTGTTTTCACGTACCGTTGGAACTAAAATGTAACAAGGCAAAAAAAGAAAGTCATAATAACAGTAATAATTGGGTAAGTTTTGCAAGTTTCCAAAAAAAAAAAAAAAAAAACAACTCTTGAAGCTCTGTCTTGT